CCAGATATGAAACAGATGTGTCAGTCTCTGTGGTATCTTTTATCTCAAGCTCACCAGGATATATCTTATCGACATAAGAATGGAAATAACCATTGTTAATTGACAATGTCGAGTTGAAGGCCACAGCAAGTGTTTTCTTCTTTTCACGTATAAGATTTTGGACAAATTCTGCTTCATATGAATACAAAATAAAGGTCTGTTAATAACGGGGCGCAATTGGTACATACTATACCAGGAAGCAAGGGACAACTTCACTCACACTCTTTACATCATATGCCAGAAAGCAAGAGACAGCTTCACTCACACTTTATAATACTATACAAGAAAGCAAGTGAGAGCTTCACTCATACTCTCTATACATACAATACCAGAAAGCAAGTGACAGCTTCACTCACACTTTATAAATACTATACCAGAAAGCGAGGGACAACTTCACTCACACTCATACATACTATACCAGAAAGCAAGGGGCAGCTTCACTCAGACTCAATACATACAATACTAGAATGCAAGGGACAGCTTCACTCACAATTTATACATACAATACCAGAAAGCGAGGGACAACTTCACTCACACTCATACATACTATACCAGAAAGCAAGGGGCAGCTTCACTCACACTCTATACATACTATACCAGAAAGCAAGGGGCAGCTTCATTCACACTCTATACATACTATACCAGAAAGCAAGGGAGAGCTTCACTCATACTCTATACATACAATACCAGAAAGCGAGGGACAACTTCACTCACACTCTATACATACTATACCAGAAAGCAAGGGGCAGCTTCACTCACACTCTATACATACAATACTAGAATGCAAGGGGCAGCTTCACTCACACTCTATACATACTATACCAGAAAGCAAGGGGCAGCTTCACTCACACTCTATACATACAATACTAGAATGCAAGGGACAGCTTCACTCACACTCTTTATCGGAAAGCAAGAGACACGCAGCTTCAATTCTCAAAGATCACTCTTGATCAAACTTGGATGGGGTTTAAAATAGGCTTTGCCTGCTGCCCGAACTTGTTCAATGTATACTTGTTTACTGATTACGAAAGCCGGATAGGCTCATTTTTGACAAGACAAAAAAAAATTAACTCGTTATAACGAGATAATTATCTCGTAATAACGAGTTAGTATCTCGTTATAACGAGTTAGTATCTCGTTATAACAAGTTAATATCTCGTTATAACGAGTTAGTTATCTCGTTATAACGAGATAATTATCTCGTTATAACGAGTTAGTTATCTCGTTATAACGAGTTAATTATCTCGTTATAACGAGTTAGTATCTCGTTATAACGAGTTAGTATCTCGTTATAACGAGATAATTATCTCGTTATAACGAGTTAGTTATCTCGTTATAACGAGTTAGTTATCTCGTTATAACTAGTTAGTATCTCGTTATAACGAGTTAGGTATCTCGTTATAACGAGATAATTATCTCGTTATAACGAGTTAGTTATCTCGTTATAACGAGATAATTATCTCGTTATAACGAGATAAAAATTGATCTAGAATTGATATATCTAAGTAAAGAATAGACCATTATTTATAGGAAATATACAGAAGCAAGTCGATCAAATTTGTTTGAAGTGTGCGTGATAAAGATTTTATGGAACAGCATACTAGTTTTTTGTGTTATGCCTTTGATTAGTATTGTTTATTGGAAAGACCGAAGACAAATATACGGAAACTTGTGACCGCCTCCTGTTGTGTTATACCTTAAAAGTGCAAAATAGAATTAGTGTCATCTTCAAATATAATAATATTTGTCGCAATAAAAAATGCATAGAAATAATCCCATTATTTTAAATATTCCGAATAAATCATGTGGATATGAAACCATTTGTTAGGCTTTAACGATCATATTTTGATAATTCCTTGCCTGTTAAAAAGGAATACCAGTTCAATTTTATCGTCTTAAAGGGGCAAGATCAAAATTCAATGTCTGACAAAAAACTAAATTCACGTTGTTTTTATCATCAATCCCTCCTTCCCCTCAATAATAAATATGATTAATATCAAGAACTAATACTGTACTTATCACTTAATAATTTATATATTTCTTCTGTTTATTAAAAGAAAGAAACATTTTAATTTACCAATTTGGCATGGAATCTTAAATTACAATATGTAATTTTTGCGTTATTATCAATGTGGTAGAATTAAAAAAACTTTTGGAGCTCTTTATTCTACGGAAGCCACGATAAAAGGTGAAGGTCAGCATTAGTAAAAACAGTTGACATGTGATCCTTTTTGGGTATAGAATGAAAGTTTAATATCTAAAGTTTACAATGTGATAAGCATTACTTAAGGTGTATTTCAAGCATAAATTTTGCCAAGAAATGTGTATTGTATGTTGAGACAGGATTTTTGATATTTTCACTCGTGCTTCGCACTCATGAAAATATAAAAAAAAATTCCTGTCCCACTCGTGAAATAAATTCCATATCAACTATAAAACATTGAATATCCTCTATTTATTACCCCCCCCCCCCAAAAAAAAAATCATCAATCTCTTTTTGAAATAAAAATTATATGCTTGTAAAGTATACATAATAAATATTGTGATGAGGAAAATAATTAACGACATTGCTTCAATGTTGTATTAATAATATAAATGTACATATGTAGTATTAGGCCTATTCGTTGATCAATCCTAAGTAAAAAGATTATAAAAGTGAACTGGCTTTGTAAACTCTGTAAACTTTTTTTTTATTTTGTAAACTCTGGTTTGACGTTCTGACACTATGTGGTAAACATATAGGATCCGCCAAATAGACGTGAATCTCAAATAGGTCTCCGTGAATCTCCACAACTTGGACCCCCCCCCCCCCCGCGCAAAAAATATAAACAGTGAATCATGACAGAATATTAAATAAAATGTCAATATCAGCAGATCAGATTTAACGTCTTATTACTTAAAAGGATGTAATATCATTTTTGCTTCACCATTCCTCATTATCGTGGACAATATGCATAAGCTAAGTCACAAAGTTCAATGGGGGGGGGGGGGGTTAAACCAAGTAAAATATTTGACAAGTAAAAAGAAAAAAAAATAGATTTGATATTCCAACTACGAGTATTCGCCATTATTTTCGGGAGATATTTACTCAGGTAAAAAAATATGGAGGAAGGGGCACAAAGATACTCTTGACCGCCCCCTTTTCAAAAGTGATGGTGTGGACATTAGCCCCTCTATTACTACGCCTCTGATCTTACTGCTGATGTCTCACCATCCCCCGTCTTCAAAACATTTCTGAATCTCAGAAGTAACATATGTATAACACTGTAATCTATATATTATATGTTGCATAAACGATATGTTGCACTTATATTGTCTCTGATATTTTTTTTTAGCGGTATAGAAATTGATATATGAAAGTGTATAAGTCGTCCAAAACATATCGAAATAGTGTCATTCATCAGAAATAGTTGTAATAAATAAATTGCCAAAGTTTGAAGCAAGTATGTTTGGCAATATTATTTTAAGAAAAATATCGCGTCCTAATGCAACAATTTGAGGAGGAGTTCACGAAAATGTGTAAATGTGTTCGCCTTAGAGTTGCTATGATTATTGACAGCGAAATAGTTCAAGATTTAATCATAAGTCAATCCCAGAGCAAATTAAACCATTTATCAATTGTTCAAGTTAAATTTGACTGATAATTACTTGCTAAAAATTCAATGGCATTTAAAACTGCAGCCATTTTTATTCCTATATTGCTATTAAGTCTCAAAATAACAAGAAAACTGTCTCGTTATAACGACATAACTAACTCGTTATAACGAGATAATTATCTCGTTATAACGAGATAATTATCTCGTTATAACGAGATAACTAACTCGTTATAACGAGATAACTAACTCGTTATAACGAGATAACTAACTCGTTATAACGAGATACTAACTCGTTATAACGAGATAACTAACTCGTTATAACGAGATACTAACTCGTTATAACGAGATAATTATCTCGTTATAACGAGATACTAACTCGTTATAACGAGATACTAACTCGTTATAACGAGATAACTAACTCGTTATAACGAGATAACTAACTCGTTATAACGAGATATTAACTCGTTATAACGAGATAACTAACTCGTTATAACGAGATAACTAACTCGTTATAACGAGATACTAACTCGTTATAACAAGATAACTATCTCGTTATAACGAGTTAATTATTTTTTTATCTTGTCAAAAATGAGCCTATCCGGCTTTCGTAACTGATTACAATTTAATTTGAAGTAATGGAAATCAGTTACCATTTTAATGAAATGACCAGGATGAATATACTAATGGAAAAAGTAACTATGATGGGGCCTGTTATCCAAACACATTTGCAAGTGCAGTAATAGCTGAATATGCATGCTAAACGTAAAGAATTTGCCCACAACGGTTCATACAAGTAAGTTAAAGCCAAATATTAAACGCATTGAAAAGGGACGGATAGACGTAACGATATGCCATTCGATATTTTGGGAACATTAAAAGAATGAATGTCTGTTTAGTCCTTCAAGTTGTGCTAAAGAGAAAGAGAGACGTCTAAAGATGAAAAGTTATTTTATCTAAAATACACCGTAAGGGATTTTATTTTCACGGTGTCTACCTATTTAGTATTTATCTTATCTAACCTTCTTAATACCATTGCGTAGGTTAAAAAAAGTGGCAAAGTATCGTGGCATTTTGTGTAGAGATCGCTTGGTTGATTAGCATGTGCAATCTAAATAAAATTAAATGCTCCAAATATGCTTCCGCTTCTCAGAGGGTATTGGATTCGGAACATTTTTATCTTTTATAGATTGTGAAAGGTGACGTTTCAAGTGGACATGTGCCCCTTGTAATCGATACCAAGAATATAATAATTGTGTCCTTGTAGAGATATGCGCCCTATATTCACACAATTTCTTGTGTAATAGTGCACTTTTTGCTAAAGGGTCTAAGCTACAGATAAGTTATTTGTCATGAATATCAGAAGGACCTCTGTTTTCTCTCTATTCATTTCTTTATTTGGATCATGTGAAACACTTTTAGGTAAGAAAAACTAGGAACTCAACACTTACGCATTTATATGTTGAATTTTAAAAAAAAAAAATCTATTTTTGGTTAAATTACTTGATGTACTTTTTGACAGCTTGAACAGTGGCCAAATACATAAATAATTTGTGGTGGGTGGAAGCAAATGTTTGAATTTAGGGTAAAAGACTTATTTTAAAGTAGGAATGCTGGAAAATTGTTTCATCATATAATTGCGGAAAGCTCCATTAGGTATTCATAAAACATTTGGCACTAAAGTGATCAAATGGTCAATGTAATAGATTCATGCTAAAAAATCCTAATGAATCGATTATGAATTCGAATGAATTGATCATGGATTATGTATAAATTTTACTTGTTCATTCTGACCAGTTTTTATTACAGTGATATTAAATCACCCACCTGCAATTCACATACAGCCAGATTTGGATGTTTATTACAAAATTGGTGAATCTGTGACGCTGCCTTGTTTGGCTGACGGACTGCCAACTCCAGTGTACGTCAGTTTAGCTCATTATTACTAAGTTTTAATGGATTTTACCATTTTTTAAGAGACAAAAAAGTTTTTATCATCTGTTTTTTCATAATAGTTATCATTGGAAGAGGAACGGCATTAAATTGAATCCGTCTGGAAATGACGACAGATTTGTCCAAGTTCCTGGCGAGGGAAACCTTACCATACGTTACACTGACGAAAGGGACGAGGGAGTTTTTCAGTGTCTAGCTGAAAATCAATATGGAATATCAACTTCAATCAATGTGAATTTAAGGTATATATATATTTTGTAGTTTCATTTGTGGACTTCCCAATTTCTGTTCAAGATAGATAATCGGAGTCTTTGCGTACATATTTGAGTGCATTCTTTCAAAGAACTACCAGTGTCATCCTCTATCATTCCTTTACCCGACATAAATTGTATGTACCGGGTATATATACAATGACATGTTTTATTTATACAGGAATGAAGGGTTGCAACACACACACACACACACAACGTAACAGTAACCTGCATTGGCAATATTGTAACTATTCATCCCCGTTATGAACAAGGAAACAATTTGCTATTGATATCTTCATGAAATATTTCATAAAATTGGTGATAGTACGTAAAACTTGGTATCACAGATGCATACAATTACATTGATGGAAAAGGCATGAAACTGTTGATCTTTTATACTTCTTAAATAAAACTATTATCCAGAAAGCTTTAAAACCAGAATCTAACTTAGGAAGTCCGTTAAAATTGATTTATTGATATCATTTTTCAAAAGAAATAAAGGAGAAAATATTAGATGACTGTAAATATTAGTCAAAAATGAGTAATATGTTTTATACATTGTTTCTATATTTCCGTGTTATGTAACGATCGAGGCTTACCCCATAGTGAGACCTCCTCCCTCCACCCACCGGGTAGACTGGCTCTATAGGAAACCCTATAGTGAGTCTTCTCCCTGAGGGGAAGAGAGGCTATATAGTGATTCTTCTACCTAACCAATAATTGTGAGGTTCCTCCTACGTATGAATCATATCGTCAATGCATAATTTACACCAGAATTAAATTATATAAATTTCAATATTAGCATGTAAATACAAAATTTAAAAATTGACAAAATAATATAGTCTGGTATTTTTATACAAATACAAAACCAAAGGGACTATTCCTGAAAGGGGGAAGCTACGCTATAAAGGGGGAAAAGAATGGCTATTGGTTACATGTAGTGAGTCTCTCCCTCCTTAAGAATGACTATATATAGTGAAATCTCCCCGGAAGAAGGCTCACTATATCCCGTGGTCAGTCTCTCGAGGATAAGGTATAGCCAGTCCTTTGGGAGAATCCTCATATCATAGCAAAACTTCCGGGAGAAGTCTTACTTACAATGAGGGAAGTCTCAATGTACACCACAGATGATTCATTATTATACCTATTTGAATTAAGGATGGGAAAACTGGATGATTTTACTACGGCGTCACCGATAGCTCTGAGTCCCTACCTTGGTGAGGCTGTATCGCTGAACTGTGTACCACCCCCCAGTGTTCCTATGGCTGATATCGAGTGGATCCTAATCTCAAGTGAGGGACATGTGGAGCTTGTAAATTATAACAACAGAATCACAAAGGATTACGAAGGTCCGTTAATTGTCAATGCTTTTTTTTTCTTCAACAAAGTAAATCTGTATACCTAGGTGTTGCTTTATATACTTGATTTAATATGAACATATTTCGTCACATACGAATAAAAGGACAAAAGTTAAAGGATTTCTCTGACCAGTCTCTTCATAGTCATTATAAATTATATAATTATTTGTTAGTGATCTTAAGTAACTATTATATGATATACGTCATGAACAATCTATGTCTACCTATAAAAGCAGAACAAACATTATGTTTGTGCTCCACCCCAGTATAATCGGCAGAATTATGCTATGTGGAAATTTTATTTTTAAATTATAGAGTAGAGGTTTACTTATTTTTTAAAGGGTAAGAGTTATTTTACATTTGTTAACAAGGGTAATGAGATGTAAAATGCAATATCTTTCAAATTTGTAGAGCATGCTTTAAAAAGCATTTATGTGTTCAATTTAGTGTTTTGTAAACTTTGTGAGAAAACATAATTTTTATAAAATGTTTAATTTTAGATGTTTTCACAAAATGTTGGATATAATACATTTTGAAAGAATTTTTTAAGCTTAATCACAAAATAAAATTTAATACAATGACAAATACATATCACTACTTCTTGAAGTTAGAAACACAGAGACGCTGAAAATCTCCGAACCTTTACAGGTCGCTTATACATCACCAATGTTCAACAAGAAGATTACCAGAACGGAAAAGCATATAGGTGTATGGTTACTAATCACTTCGTAAGAAAAAATACGTATGACAAAGCCATTCACATCATTCCCAGAGGAAGTAAGTAAAAAATACGAACACAGTCTAAAAATGTCTTGAATTCATTTTAAACTTAACATTTGACACCCTAAAGAAAACTAAAAAACAAAACACAAAACAAAAACAAAATAAATAAACACACACACACACCCCCTCACCCACACACACACACACACACACACACACACACACACACACACACAATAATATACAATAAAACCGTTCAAACGTACAACAAAAAGCGACACAAAACAATACAAACAAAATTCAACTAGCCAAACAAATAATAAAAGCAAAAACTACTAACAATTTTTAGCACTAGCACACTTCATTTTCAGGACCACTTGCTCAACACTATGTCAATCGTTTGTAAACTTTCAAATATTTCAGTTTCTCCTCTGTGATAGCTGATCCAAATTATGCAAACTTGTCTCATAGCTCCTATGGACTAAGGGAAACAAAAATGGGAAAATTCATAATCTTCGCCTCATTGAGGCTTAATTGGTGCAGCAATAGTGAAACCATTGAAAATTAATATATATTTTTCAAAAATCTTTTTCTTTACTCCTGCGTATGGGGTTTATGTCTAATTTCTAAAACAAGGCAAGCCATTAACAAACAAGTTGATGAAACAAGAATATCAACAGTCTCGTTTGAAGTCATCATTTTGCAAGTTCTATGGTCGATACAATGACCTTTGCCAGCGAATACGATCTATCATTAAATCAAATGCTGACTGACGTTTTCCATACTAACTGTTAGGCTATTCTCCACACACTGAATTGTCTACGTTTTTTTCCTTTTATCCCGATCATGAGAAGGAGCACACGGCGGGTGTGACCGGTCGGCAGGGGATGCTTACTCCTCCATGGTACATGATCTCACCTCTGATGTTTTAAAAGTCCATGTTTGCTCTGCTTCTGATCTGTATCGTTTGAATGGACTTCTGAGCTTGAATACTGTTTGTTATCTCCATATTTCATTATGAACATCAAGCAGTCAATCTTCTTCTATGATAATAATCATGCAGTACTGTGTCATGGTCCCTGGGTCTGTGTTTCTATCGCTATGACAGGTACAATCTCCCTCTCTGTTAATGAATAATACACAGTACATGATAAACACAGCACTTTATTAAAATCATGCTCAGGAGCCTTTGGTTTAGACCTAGTTTTGAGAAAAATTGGCCAGTATTAAAAATGGCTTATTTCATTAGTACACTGTATTTCCAATGCAGACAACGAGCCAATTATGATGGAATTGAGCACTTTGTCAGAATGGATAACGAGTCTAAGGAGGATATTGCATGAATCTGGTATTAAATATTAGATGGGTACATGATCAGTATGTTTAGGCTCTATTTGACAAAGCATGCAACAACATAGTCTTTTTTGTTAGGATCATTCTAAAAATTACATTTTAGAGGAACTTGGATTTAATTCTACATGATGCGTTCGAACTTAGACTCATATTTCTCTTTCTGGAGAAGAAATTCCTCATGATCATATGTTAATTTTAAATATTTTCAATGTTCCCAACAACCAGAGTGAATTTGAATTTGATTCCAGAACTGCATGAAAATCTTCTCAAGAAATATACATTGGGAAAATGTTCTAGCATTGAAGTTTCTTTCTGTACACCTAACGAAAATATCAACAGCAGTGCTGGGAAAAAAATTGCAGTGTAGTGCAACAACATATCGGAGAAGGAGTGTCAATCAGTTGGATACTAAAACAAAAAAATTATGCAAATCAGTATCATCAAAACCGATGACTTCCCAACGCCTCACAAATGTATTGTTTAAAGGGACTTTTGAGCATGATCACATTTGTTATCATCACATTTCATTTATATAAATCCATTCCTCGAAATGAATTTTTAAGACCATGCTTTTTGATTGATGGACAAATGCTTCTTCAATTAAAATGGAACTCGGAAATTTTCATAATTTTTGATTGGTCATCTACATATTTACATGTACCTTCAAGTTGTTAAAAATCACACAAATACTCTGTTGATATTAAAAAAATGCTTGAATTTCTCGTTGATGATCGATATCTATGTAGTCTTTCGAGACCAAGTCTTCCAACAATCTGTTGGAATTCCATGGGCTCAAATTGTGCCCCTTTATTAGCTCCTTTAATATCAGACCTGTCTCTGTATATGTGAAGTAGAACTTATTTTTAAAAAAAATCTACGTGAAAAGAGAAGTCTCTTGCCATGGACTTCATTTTGACATTTATCAAAGACGTTTTATCAATTAACAATATTAACAATATTCATTTTCTTTTATATCTTGATTCGATATATCCCAAAGAACTTGAAATAAAAGACACCGTTGAGTATGACAAATTCTTTTTGTTTTGCAAGAGGGAGACATTGATGTCAAACTATCACAAATTCTTAGATCGATACACTGCTTTTATTTGCAAGTACAATCCGTCATTAGGTCTTATGTTGACTGAGATTTGTTTTCTGTTTTGTTTTGTTTCTTGTTAGGTCATTATTTTCAAACTGAATTTTCTACGGATTTCATCGTTCGCCCAGTCAAGACAAATTGCTTACGGCGGTCACCTGGAGATACTTACTCCTCCATGGCACCTGATCTCACCTCTGATTTTCAGGGGTCCCTGTTTGCTTTGCTCTCAATGTGTATTTTTTTCATGATGATTATGGAGAGCCCTATACAAAATTTATAAAATTCATGTCCCCTGGGTCCAAAGATTAGTTGGTCATATTTTTAAAATTGTTATTAATACACTGCTTTAGAAAATTTGATTTTTCTTAACTTTAAATTTAACCAGCAAACTAATTATGCATTACAGCTAGCTATAAGTAGGGCTAAGTTGATGATATGTTTACAATATATTCTATCTTTAAAAATCTTCTTCATTTCCAAACTTCTAGGGGACAAACTAGATGAATATAATAATAATAACGAGGTCTTCACTAAACTGATATTTTGTCACATGAATCCATAGTACCAGTTCTTGGTGGGGTCAAAGTACCGGTATTCATACTCTGTGAACCTCATGTAGGTGACCTACATGGTGACAGGGCATTTTGGGTTCTTGTATTATAATAATTTTTATTACAGAGGTATACAGAAGTAAACTTAACTTAATTTTCCCCCTGTGGCCAGGGCAAGCATGATTATTACAGGTTTCTGAAAATTTCCAAGAACAATACAGAGATATTACACTTATCGTAGATTGGATTAGAATAGTGGACATTCACTTTTTGGTTTACTTCAGAGCATAAAAAGATCTTCAGTTTATGGACGAAAATTTCAAAATATCTTTTCGATTTGTAATTTGTATATTTTGTAGAGCATATCACCTGAAAACCATGACAGTTGGTTGAATACGGGACCACACGCCTTATAAAGTTTGCAAATCTTATTGATATTTTTACATACTTGAGAACAAGTCTTTTTTATTGATTCATTGTATTTTTTTTTTACTTCTGGTTCTAGATTTACCACTGCAAAGACCTGCCGAGTATCTATGGTCCTCACCCTCTAATGTATTAGGTCTAAAAGGAGAGTCACTCAAACTCAAATGTATATTCAGTGGAAAGTAAGTCAAATTTATTCATTTAATAACAGGACATAATTTTCGTCTTTTTCAAATTAAAATCTTTTTTTTTTTTTTTTTTTTTTTTTTTTTAATTTTTTAAAATTTTTTATTACTTTTAAATTTTTTTTTTAAACTTAAAGATAATATTTCCTAAAGTAAATTGACAATAAAGATTAAATGAATCTAAAATCTGAATGTTTGATAAGTACAGTGTACATATACATATTGAGATTAAAACGATAGAATGCATGCATTACTTTAATAAAAAGAAGGAATTCTTACATGATTTTTACTAATCGTTTATTAATTTGCACAGAATTGCGACAAATGACGTTTATAATACCATTCCTAAAAACCCGGATTTAATTTTTAGCCCTACCCCGGATGTGCTATGGTCAAAGAACTACGATGTCCTTCCACATGAATATAACGTATCCCTCGGGGGACAGGAACTTACCATTACAAATGTAACAGAGGGGGACGCTGGGTCTTATCAATGCTATGGCTCAAACAGTAACGGATCGCTGGCATACCGGGATATTTCAGTTCGAGTGGAATGTAATAAACCTATGCTTTTTGTGTAATTTTTAAACTCCAATCCAATACATATCAACTTGCAGAAATTAGATGAAATTTCATTCTGACATTTTGTCTGAAAACAAGATTTTTCAAAAAGATGCAAGAAATTTCTATGAAAGTATTAAAGGGTAATACTGCACTGGGACACGACTGAGTAGATTTTGGGGTAGCATTACTAGATTATAGATTATTGTATCTGTTAAAAAAAATTGTAGTACTAGCGAGCAACACTTTGTAAAGTTTAATAAATCTGGACAGAAGTATGTAATGTCTAAGTGTCCTTTAATTGATATAATTCACTTTCCTTTAGAAGCCGCCATTTTCAGATTCAGTGGATGAATTTAGGTCTAATCTTGATGTCGTTGAATTATTAATGTTCAAATGATTATGACAAATAATTTCTTTAGCTAAACCATACTGGGACATTGAACCGCATGACATAAATGCAAGCGCCGGGGCAACAGTGACCTTTATTTGTAAGGCCAAAGGTTATCCTGAGCCAGTCATAACATGGTTCATCAATGGGATCAAGCTTCAGGGTAATATAAAGTTATTTTTAGCACATAGTTTTATTAAGGTTTAAATTAATTAGAAGTATGTTAATTCGTATCTTTATTTAATTTCCCCAGAATCTCAAAAACCAATTCTACACAGCCACCGATTTTTGAATCCTGACGCAAACAACATCACATTTGTCAATGTGAACCACCAAGATAGAATGGTCCTGCAGTGTAATGCCTCGAACACGCATGGTTATGTGTTCGCTGATTTCTATCTTAACATACTGGGTAAGTTTATTTGTAAGTATAGTAGGTATAAAATTTTGATTCTCTTTTGAATGTTGAGGGTCTATTTTTTTTTTCTTTTTTGTAAATGACTTCATTTTCAAAATGTAAGTATTTACATGTAATAACATGTAAAGAATGTCACATTCAGTGTAAGTATGCTGTTATGTAATGGTATAATAAAGATCTGCATGATATTTCAGATTAATGAGAGATGCCGCGGATACAGAATATATAAGAAATTTCTCATCGACTGGATAAAGAAGGATTATTCCAATTTTTGATTATTCAAACGTTTGGAATTTAAATCCTGAAAACAACTCAAAAAGTCTTTTTTCTTATGTAATTATGTAAATTCTGAAGTACATCAATAAATTATCAAATTTACTCATTCTGAATCGTATTGAAGATTGCAGTGTCAGAGACTAGTGTACTGTATGGAACTTGATGGTACAGCTAACCCCTGTGTTTTCAAGCCTGTGAGAAGTAATTTCAGTTCGGGGATTGGCTCAACTAAATATTTCCGTTTGGATACGTTATAACAAGTTTGGAAATTCGTTTTAACGAATTTAATCTGTTATAGAAAATTTCTGAATTCTTTATAACGAATTCAACAAATCTGTTATGATAAATTAAATTCGTTGTAATGGAAAAAAAGAAAGAATAATATTTGTTTTAACAAGTTCAAAAATTCCTTACATCAAAAATATTTTTTGATCGTTCCTAAATGGTCTTCTGTAATTTTACTAATATATTAGAAAATTAAAAAAAAAATGATAGGCATTTTAATTCACCTGATCATTCTATTTTGTCAATGAAATTTAGAATTCTAGAAAAGATTTACCATCTTACTAACATCCCATCATCGAGTATACCTTTCCGTAGACAACGAGAGGAATACTGGATAAGAAAGCTAGGCACGGTCTTTCCATACGGTAGCAAGGCAATGTCGATGGTGTTGGGAATTTTTCAAGCCCAAGGTATAGCAATGTGAATGTGATGGGACTTTTTAACAGTACACGGAGACTTAAGTTTAATCATGGACATCGGTCTTACAATAAACCTGTTATACACTATGTCCCCTTTGATTCACTACTGCCTTATGTAAATAAACAGTTAGGCCTTCATCACATTCGCACCAAACTTTACTATGTCCCTTTGAAAGTTTTGAATAGTCTATTTGTAAAAGTCAAGGAAAGTCCATATTTGGATTATTCGACAACTGAATAAGGCTCGGATCTGTGATAATGGATGAAATATACGGAGATAACGAACAGTATTCGAGCTCAAAAGTCCATTAAACATTACAAAATAGGAGCAGAGCAAACACGGACATCTAAAACTTCAGAGGTGGGATCAGGTGCCATGGAGGAGTGAGCATCCCCTGACGACCGGTCACACCCGCCGTGTGCTCCTTGCCATAGCGGAAAAATCCGTCGACAATTCAGCGTGTAAATAATGGCTTAACAAATAGTATGAAAAAAGTCAGTCAGCATTTGACCTAATGATAGATTGTATTTGCTGACAAGGTCATTGTATCGACCATAGAACTTGCCAAATGATGACTTTAAACGAGAATGTTGATATTCTTGTTTCATCAACTTGTTTGTCAATAACTTACCTTGTTTTAGAAATTGTTCATACGTAGAGCATGTTCTGGCGTATCGAATCAACTGAGAGACATAAACTCCGTATGCAGGTGATAAGGGTATAGTGCTGCATAAGTAAGGGAAGTTGACGATTGAAAAGTTAAAGTCATCATTTATCATAAAGCTTTGTTGTTAGATTACCATTAACGCCTTTTTCAATACCCAAATATGAAACAGATGTGTTAGACTCTGTGGTATCTTTTATCTCAAGCTCACCGGGATATATTGTGTCGACATAAGAATGGAAATAACCATTGTTAATTGACAATACGTCGTCGATATATCTAAATGTCGAGTTGAAGGCCACAACAAGTGTTTTCTTCTTTTCACGTAAAAGATTTTGAACAAATTCTGCTTCATATGAATACAAAAATAGGTCTGCTAATAACGGGGCACAATTGGTACCCATAGCAATTCCAATAGATTGTTGGAAGACCTGGTCTCCAAAAACCACATAGATATTATCAATCAGAAACTCGAGCATCTTTTTAATGTCAACTTCAGAGTACTTGTGTGTACAATCAGAGTGCTTTTTTTTTTTTTTAAATTCCTACATTAGTAGTCCAGATAATAGAGATTTTATGGACGCAAATTTTGTCACACTATATTTCCGTATATCCTGGTATTATAGAAAATATCGCTTACAGTGCTATGTTTAAAAAGCCCCCCTCCCCCCCCCCCCAAAAAAAAATGCGGCGCGCCGACCACCGATATTTAACAATTTAAAACCCTTTAAATGCTTTTTCCACATGCCTATGATATTACTTTACAACCTTATAATATATTTGTCAAACTGGTGAAAAATCCATTTCCCAACAATGTGCAAGACATGTGTAGTTTTGGTCGGGTAGTTTATGAAATATTTAAAGAAATACAGGCTATATAAACGCCCATTTTTTATGTGAAACAAAAATGATCAAATGGTTTGAGAACTATGATATGTAATGAAAAAATAATACTTTCCACAAAGTTTTACTAAATAAATCGTTGTAATCACAAAACAATTGCAAATTCCTTGTCGATAAACACTTCTGTTTAATTCTACTTCTTGAAATCCATCTTATATGCACAGTTCACTTTCCAAGTTTGAAATTCTTCAAAAACTTATATCAGTCTTTAATACTTTTAACATTCCAATCAACGAATGGTGAGTTCGATCTACCTACCTATAATGGATTCCTAATCTTCATAAAAATCCTTTACAATTAAACAAAGATACATTGCAGGTTCATTATTTGTCTTTACATCTAGATCTGGTCCTTCAAATACTCTACCAAGCCCCTATCTTTACTCCTCATAAAAATATTAACTGCTATAAAGGAGAAACTTCAGAGGTATTGTGCTATAGCATATGCGAGAAGTGGTGTAAATCAAATGTGGATTTTAAAAAATTCCAAAGAACTTTTAGAAAATTTTATATCACAAAATTTTTCAGAAGTCAGTAACATCAAAACGTATCAATTGTCAACACTTTACACTATCATTTCTCCCAATAAATTAAAAACTATACGTTTGATATCAGAGACATAGACAACTGTTTTTCAATAAAAATAAAATTCGGAAATTTTCCTGTAATTGGTCATCAACAAAATTACTTTGTTAAAAATCACGCTGATTCTACACACAAATAGTCTGAATTTGACATTAAAATGATGCTTGAGTTCCTCATTGACAACATCTATATACTCAGTAGTCTTTGGGAACCAGTTCTTCGAACAAACTATTGAAATTTCGATGGGCACTAATTGTACTCCTTTATTAGCCGACCTGTTTTTTTATATACTACTATGAAGCAGAATTCATTCAAAAACTTCTACATGAGAAGAAGAAAGCATTAAAGAGGGTGTTGCAGAAACTCGCGATTATTCCCTATATCGAGAAGGACATTTAAATACCCACCACGCATGGAGAGTTATGTCTAAATACAGAAAATCTACGTAGATGACTTTGTGCTTATGGCGGGTATTTCCAGCTTGATATAGGTTCAAACACTTCACATTTTATGTTTATTTCATGCATAGTTTTTTCTTAACGTAGGAACCGATTGGCGACCTTTTAGTGAACGTTAACCTTTTTATTTTTCACTTTATTTATTTTTACATGCATGTATCACTATTGCCGTATTGTACGAGAAAGTTTGAACAATAAAAAGCGTTAAGAGACGCCCTGATCTTGAACCTTTGAACCTTGAATGTATATGGGTAGAAATCAGCGATCCTACCTGCAATATTCTCCTCTGCTGTGTGTACCGTCCTCCTAACTCCGATAATTCATTTTGGAAAAAGTTTGAATGGTCCCTTGAAAAGGCTGTTGATATATCCGATAGAATTTTAATCTTAGGTGACTTAAATGTAAACTTTCTAAATCTCCAAATCACAAATGTAGTCAATGAAATTCTCTTAAAATACTCCTTTCAAAACACAGTATGCGACGCAACTAGAGTCACGAAAAACACGAAATCTCTCATAGACCCAATTCTTGTTAGTGAAAGTCTACACGACGATGTATTGGACTCTGGGACAATAGACGTTGAACACTCTCTCAGCGACCACAAAGGTACATACATCTATCTCAAATCACATACAATACAAAAACAATCATATGATAGGAAAATATGGATATACAAAAATGCGGATTTTGAAACACTAAACACACTTATACGCAACACAGATTGGAATACGCTTATTAATGACGCCAAAGATATAGACCAGGCGGAGAGTAATTTTTCAACGAGTTTTTTAAACCATGTAAAACAATGCATTCCCGAAAAAACAGTAACTATAAGGCCTAAAGATAAGCCCTGGTTCGATTCTGCACTGCGGAAAACAGTTCGTATGCGAAATCGCGCAAGAAATAAAGCCCACAAAACAAAAAAAGATTCAGATTTGGATAAGTTTAAAAAACTACGCAACAAAGTTAACAATATGAAAAAAGTAGCGATGGCAAACTATTATAACAATATAGAGACCAATCTTATCGACGCAAGTATCAAAAGTTCAAAAATTTATTGGAAATTATTAAAAGATGTTTTCAAAACAAAGGTCAGATCCGAAATACCACCGCTGCAGGATATTACAGAAAATGGCGATGTGCATATTTCATATAGCGATATTGACAAAGTTGAGGCGTTAAACAACTATTTTGCTTCGATTTCGTCGTCGCATGATGTCGAACCTGCATTACCAGATTTTTCTTTATGGTGTAATAGTGTTCTTCATAGTATTGAAATAGTTGAGCAAGACATGATTGATATAATTTCTATTCTCCCTGTGAACAAGGCCATAGGACCTGACAATATTAGTCATAAAATGTTAAAAGCTACTATTTTTAGCGTCTCATTTCCCTTGTGTATTCTGTTTAATAGATCTTTAAGAGAATGTGTATTTCCTAAACAGTGGAAAGTAGCTAATGTACTTCCTTTATTTAAAAAAGGTGACCCATCATTATTATCAAATTATAGACCTGTGTCATTATTAAGCTGCGTAGGTAAAATTATGGAGCGAGTCATTTTTAAATATGTTTATAATTATTTTCATTCAAACAATCTTTTTTATAAATATCAGGCTGGTTTTTTACCAGGTCATTCAACTGTTTATCAGCTTATTGAGACATACAATTACATAGCTAAAGCTATAGATGAAGGAAAACACTGTTGTATGGTTTTTTGTGATTTGTCTAAGGCATTTGATCGGGTATGGCATAAAGGTCTTCTATTTAAGTTACAAACTTATGGCGTTAGCGATAAATTATTGCTATGGTTTCAAAGTTATTTAGATTTAAGGACACAAAGGGTATTGCATAGGAATACTATGTCTAATTTTAAACCATTACATGCTGGAGTCCCTCAGGGGTCTGTATTGGGACCACTTTTATTTTTGATATATGTCAATGATGTTGCTGAAAATACGTCGAGTTTAAGCAGGTTGTATGCTGATGATAATTCTTTACAGAACTGTTCTGAAAACATACATGATATTCAAGTAGGATTGAATTATGATTTAAATCAACTTGAACAGTGGTCTAAACAGTGGCTATTGAAATTTAATCCTTCGAAAACCAAAGCTATCTTTTTTAGTACTAAGAAAAATGTCGAACTACCAAGGCTTAAATTTCAAGACTGTTATTTAGATTTTGTATCATCACAAAACCACTTAGGTATTCTCTTTTCACACGACCTTACATGGTCAGCGTACATTGATTCTATCGTTGCCAATGCATATAAAAAATTAGGTCTACTTAAAAAAATGCAGTTCAGGGTAAGTGCTAAAACTTTAACTCTTTTATATACTACTTTTATAAGACCTCAGTTAGAATACGCAACTGAAGTTTGGTGTGGGTGTTCTAGTCAAGATTCCGAAAAATTTGAAAAATTACAGTTAGCAGCAGCAAGAATAGTCACTGGATTAACTTCTTTAGCATCGCGAGATTTTCTCTATTTTGAAACTGGATGGGAACCACTTGCTATTAGAAGAATGTCGAAAGTAAGAACAACTATGTATAAAATTTTTCATAATATGGTACCCGAGTATCTGAAAGAAATATTTCCAAACATTCGATCACATGAATCAAATTACGTAACAAGACAATCACAAAATTATTGCATCCCTAAGTGTAGATTAAATATTTATAAATCATCTTTTGTCCCAATGGCAATAAGGGAATGTAACTCTTTACCTCTTGAAACAAGACAATCCACTACTATAGGTTCCTTCAAAAATTGTATAAACTCTCAAAAAACACCTACTCCTGCATTTTTTTCTTTTGGTGATCGTTACTGGAATGTAATTCATACTAGATTAAGACACAATTGCGTTTTGAATAAAGATTTATTTAGGTGCAACATCATTGACAGTCCATTATGCACTTGTGGAAAAATAGAAGACGCATATCATTACTTTTTTTCTTGTACGAAATACACTGTCCCAAGAAACGATTTGTTTAATGCTATTTTTAGAATGATTAATTTACGTATTGTATACACTCACGTACTGTTATGGGGAGATGATTCGATTAGCATTTCTGAAAATGAAAGTTAATTTTTAAATGTGCAATTGTTTATTAAGAGATCTGGTCGTTTTTGAATTTACATATTTAATTCATTTGTACATACTACATCAAGTCAATTTTGTACATGCACAACCTATGTAAGATAATCGTATTGACCTTTGGTTCCAGTGTAGTTTAATTTTTAACATTATTTTGTGTAATTAATTGTTATAAAGGAGAGGACGTTCTAAGTTTTAAGAACTTGTGTCCGATCCTTTTGTTGTAATATCTAAACAATAAAATATGTTCAAACCAACAATAAAAAGCACATGCAGTGGCCAGTGCACCTTGCACAGCATTTTGAAAGATATACGGTAGACAACGTCCGTGAATGTTTTTTAATAAATAAAACTGTGTCCCATAATCACACTGTTTATGCTACATCCAAGGCGTTCTATTTGTTTCAAATCAAATCTTGGCCACTAAATAACAGACCAAAAATGAATCAAAATGAGTAAACTATGTAAAAAATAAATTATAATAATTTAAAACAATACTTTATTTTCCAAGACATCGCCTTTCAACTAAAAAATAGCATTATGTCATTAGTTTTAGGTCACAGTATCAAGGAAGACAAATTAAATCTGCAGGCGTTTAAAATATTATTCATTAACTTCTTGACATTCTCTCTCTCTCTCCCCCCCCCTCTCTCTCTCTCTCTTAAAATAGATATTTTATTGCACTTCCATACACGAAAAAAAGTGAAGAAGAAAAAAATGCATAAACGACCCATTCCGGGATTCGAACCCATTCTCAGGTAAAATTTCTTTAGTAGTCCACCAGCATAACCACTAGACCATTTCAGACACTCATCATCTTTGAGTTATTTTTTGTACACATTTTGCATTTCGCATGGATAATAATTTTTATTCAATTTTTGTGTTTTTTAAAAATATGCCTCTTTGAAACAAAAATCGGAAATGGCAGTTTTGAAGAAAATTCCTGCCTCTTTGTGCACATATCAAATTTATTCTGTTTCAAGGAGGAAATTTTTCAGAACAACCGGGATTCCCTATTTAAAAAACAGAAAATCTGATATATTTTGCTGTGTGATTAATTTACACATCATTTAATGGCAAATTGGAAGTCAATATGCAGCTTCCAAATATTGTTCTACATTGTGCTGTATATACCGTTGTATCTGAAAAAAATTAACATCGTTTTCAGTGACTTAAAATTCTTCTTTTAATCTGCTACACATTTAGGGAAAATAACAAAAGAACTGCAACACCCTCTTTTGCCTTCAACTCGATATTAGATGTATCGACGACATTTTATCAATTACCAATTATAGTTACCTCCATTCATATGTCGACTCGATATATCCCAGGGAACTCGAAATTAAAGAGACCCCAGAGTCTGTCAGATCTGTTTCATATTTGGATATTAAGTTCTATGGTCGATACAATGACCTAGTCAGCAAATACAATCTATCATTAAGTCAAATACTGACTGACTTTTTTCATACTAATTGTTAGGCCATTATTTACACACTGAATAGTCGATCATGACAAGGAGCACACGGCGGGTGTGACCGGTCGGCAGGGGATGCTCACTCCTCCATGGCACCTGATCCCACCTCTGATGTCTTAGAGATCCGTGTTTGCTCTGCTCCTATTTTGTAATGTTTAATGGACTTTTGAGCTCGAATACTGTTCGTTATCTCCACATATTTCATATTTACTGGCTATGGACGATAAGGACCAACTAACAACTAAATTGTATTTCAAACGAGATGAATTCAGTCTCCTTATTTATGTAGTTATATTCCACTGTCACCTGCATATGGTGTTTATGTCTCCCTTTTTATTTGATACTCAAGAGCATGCTTTGAGTACAATTTTTAAACCGAGGCACGCTACTGACAGACAACTTGATGTTATAGGGATTTCAACAACCTCATTTAAATTCAGCATTTTATAAATTCTACGGTTGTCATAATGACCTTGTTGGCAAATATAACCTAGACCTTTAAAATATTCTTTGGTTGCCCTCTCGCAACGGAATGATTAAAAATTGCCCGACTCAGAACATTTTTTAACCTCCAGGAAGCAATTATTTTTTATGCAGTCTGGAAAATGGATTGTAAAAATTCAGCTTGAAATTTTCTGGGGAAAAATTTCTCACCTACCTACCGACCCAATATTTTCATCCTGAGTCGGGAGAGGGCAAACAAACATTATTTGGCCCTATAAATGTGTCGCATTTTGACTGACAAATTTCATACCGACTGATTGGCCTTTTTATACTAAATTTGAAGATGGAATTTTTCTTATACTTCATCAAAACATAGGGCTCACGGCGGGTGTGACCGCTCGACATGGGATGCTTACTCTTCATAGGCACCTGATCCCACCTCTGGAATCCGGGGTCCGTGTTTTATGCCCTGTTTACAGATATTATCTTTTTGTAGTCTTTTTTTTTTTTAAAGATCGATCACTTCGTTATCTTCACCTTTTTCATCGACAATTCAAATCATCAAATGTAAGATAAGTCGTAACCTCTCTTGAAATTTACTCACAAAGCAACGTTGTTTGAATCTTCCTTTAACTTTACAATGAATTCATAATGTATAGTGTAGACATTAAAGGTTTTCGTAAACTTGTCACGTTCTCGTAACTATGAAATAGAAATACATAAGTACTGCATTATGTTTTTTTTTCCTCTTTTAATCACGAAATCAAACTATCTCGAACCAATAATATTTTCTCAAACCATGAAAATTTGACATCATCAAATAATTAATTTTGCATTCTGTTTAACTAGGATTTAAGAAAATTTCATTCAGGCAAAAAGAAAAATTATCAGCTCTCAGTAAAAAAATTTGCTCCTTCCGTGGACTCCCTCGAAGTTATTGGACATAAGATTAGATGGTCCCCTCCATCATCCCACGTAGTAGGCTCTAAAGTTGAGAGCATAAAGTTTGCTGTATTGTTTTCGTAAATATGACCAAAAATAATGATTCGTATGTACCGCCAAGAGAGGAGAACTTGAATAGTCATGGAAGTAGAGAAACTTATTGAGCCATCCGCCATGATTTTGAAATCTGAAAAAAAGGGAAAAAATTTTTTTTTACAAAAAATCAATGATTTTATTTAGTGTCGACGAATCGTTTAACTAGGACCATCATTCAGCCAAGGCCGTAACTACCATTGAGGCAAGTGAGGCAAATGCCTCACTAAAATTTTAGAATTTTCTGAAAAGTGAAAAAGTTTTACTTTGAATTTTAATTAATTATGTGTTTTTTGTACTTAATTGATACTTTTAACTTAAGTTTCAATTTCTGTAAATCGGCCATCTCACTAGGTGCTTCAATATCGTTTAGAATGCATGTAAAAATATTTCAAAACGTGAAACCTTCCAAGATTAAGTCTAAAATTTACTAAAACCCAGATTTTGGGAACTTCCCCCTTTCCCTGAGAATCCGCATCCAGACACTACCCTAGACCCGCTTAGGACTCGGATGTCCCCCATATCCCTTGGCTCACTAAATATTTGAGCCTATAGTTACGGTCTTGTGAGCAAAGAATACAGATTTCGGTAATTAAACTTCAAACTTTTGTAGAACAAATAAAGAATTATTCCCCCTGCTTTCTCAAAATATTTACTCTAAATACATGTACATGCTTGAATTAAAGTTTCAGAATAAAACATATATGAAGCAGTCTAAATATACACGTACGAGTACTCATTTCCAGGAGATTTTAATGCATATTGCTCTGCACATAGTTAGAAATCCGTCATGCGCACAAGTAACGCCAAATTTTGTCTTTAGAATACCTCTAATGGTGTCACCAACTGCACCATCTAAACAAACAGCGGCCTCTGGTGGACATGTACATCCTCTAGATTTAACGACCCAACGGACCTTCTCGCCAGACGTGAGCACAGTTTTTATATCCTTGAAAGATGTCAACTGTTTCTGATCCCTGCTTTGCCTTGCCCATATACTATCAAAGAAAAACATTATGAAAAGTAAAGAAATACAGAAAATATTAGTGGTAATTTTGTCAAGTTCAGTTTTGTACAGTAGGATTTTCCCCATATAGCCAACTTTCTCCCAGAAATCTTTAGTCTAGAGTAAGACTTCTCCAGAGGGGAAATCTCACACTAGAGCCAAATTCTCCCCTCTTTTTTCTCAGAGTAGGATTTCCCCTATTTTATCAATGCAAAAATCATATCGACAATATATTGGCTAAAAGTCTATACGAGTCAACTGATTTTTTAAATGGAATTAGGAGTGTTTTCGACTCAACAATTATTCAAATTTAGAATGAAATCTTAAAATATTTAGTTCAAATCATTGCGTCTCAACCCAGAATTCTAAATCATAGGAGATTTGTAAAATTCGTCACCAAAAATTCGTAAGTCTCAGTGTTTCAACACCTCTCTTGAAGTGGTGCCTGTTTGTTCACGAATTTTAAAATGTATATCAGGCCATTTTAGAGATTTAATTTGTTTGCCCTCTACCGGCCCAGTATTTTATCTATAGATCAGTGCATTTTACAAAGAATATGTGAGAAAATTCTAAAAATATCAGGATACCTTCCACATACTATCTTATGAGTATTTGCCCCCCCCCCCCCCAAATACAAACAAACAAACAAAAACACAAGAAACACTACTCTTGAAAGCCATAACATAACTTCGTCCTCTTGACCCCAGCAGTGTACATGTAATATTGGAGTTGGAAGCAGAGAGTAAAAACAAAAAATTAAAAGTTTTGAAAATTTAAAATTTTTGAAATAGTCCCAGTTTTAGCTGAATGGCAATGGCAGCTATTTGGGATATTTTAACCCAAGAAAATTGAAGAGACACTTACACATCAATATTATGTACAGTTATGTACATCTAGTTTGAAATACAATTGGAGAAAAAAATTCAGTTAAAATAAAATTCCTTGTTTTCGTTTCCATGGCTTCAGTTAAAAATTTGATTACATTGTACCATAATTTTTTCCTCCTAAAAACAGTTTGACCAGATGAAAAAATTAAGACTTTTATGCTTAAAAAAAATTGGTTGGGTAGTTACTGAGAAAAATGAGACTTAAAATGTTCAATTCGAAAACACACATATTTGCATTAAAAATATGTTGACTCTAATATAAACCTTTTTGTCAAAATATTGTCAATATGATTTCAACATTGATGAAATAGGGGAAATCCTACCGAAAAAGAAGGAGGGGGAAATATGGCTCCAGTGTGAGATTTCCCCTTAGAGGGAAGTCCAATTCTAGAATGCAAGATTGTGGGGGTAAAGCTGGCTATGAGGGAAATCAACTCCGCAGACATCGGTACCAATAATTCAAATTACATGAATCAGATAAATAGAACATTCATCTGGTGTTTCGTTAAATCATAGACATGGCATAAGTTCACAAGTACGATGAAATATAAATCTACGTAGGAAAAAATATAATAACTTAACAAAATACCTTTTCGTTTATTTACATCTTGATTAGTGAATAAGTATTATTTAGCTCTTTGACGCCACTGAGAAGTAGAAATTCATACTTTCCGTTTCCCCTTGTCCAATTGCAGTTGACCCCGTCAAAATCGGAGGTATTATTCACAAAGAAGCCAGGTCTTCCCCAGAATATAGATGCCATATCATTGACAATATATATGGATTGTATTTCTTCATTTAAGTCTGAAAATTTATAGTTATTGATTTATCATTAATGCATTAACGTATTTGATGAGTAAATGATGCTTCTCTTTACCGTGTTTGAGTGCCACAACTTAATTTACCCACACGTAATCAGACTTGTTCAGGCACTGAAATAAAGTTGTCAACACAGTTCTATACTCCTTGTATTATTTATGTATATCATATATTTTGTTTATATCAAGGTTTTCTCTCATCTCCCATTTTTTCCATGCCAATTAATCTCTTCTCTGCTTAGAGAAAGGAATTTTACACACAATTTTGTTTGCATATACTGTTCCATGAAATTATTGAGATTTTTTAAAATATATACATTCTTCTAAATACAATTGTGTTAGATTAAGAACATAAAATATATTGTAATGTTAAGATTGAATTTAATGACAATACCCTCTACTTTTTTTGTTACACGCAGTTTTCGTAGATAACCTCCCATTTATTAGTCCCCTACCGGTGAAACAATAGGTTTCCTCTGAGTCTGTCTGTCTGTCTGTCCCTCTGTCAGTCTGTCCCACTTGGTTTTCCGCACTTTTCTTCCAAACGCTTGCAGATATTAAGCTGATTTTTGGTATGTGAGTGCATACCAAACGCTTGCAGATATTAAGCTGATTTTTGGTATGTGAGTGCATCTTGATGAGATACAGATCAAGATTATATTTCGTTCCGCTTTACTGATTTTTGACGGAATTACGGCCTTTTCAATTTTTAGGGGTTTTCCGCAATTTTCTTCTAAACGCTTTCAGATATTGAGCTGATTTTTGGTAAGTGACTTTACCTTGATTAGTTATAGATCAAGTTTGCATTTCGTCCCGCTTCATTGATTTTTGACGAATTTATGGCATTTTCAATTCTTAACGGGAACCAGATTACACTTGCCGGTAGGGGACTAGTATTGCTAATGCAATACTCTCAGAATGCTTGTTTTATATGTACTAATTGTCTGTTGTTCAAAATTACTGCTTTCGAAAAAAGAAAGCCTGTTTAACATATGTATTGGTAAAGGATTTTTAACCCTGGTGATATTTCTGAAACACTGAGCATTTCACTGTCTACTCTGTATTGCATGGAACAAAATATTGTAAAAGAAGAGAAATTCAGTTGAGGATACGAGTTCGTAAGTCTAATTAACTAAAATGTACAGATCAAAGAAGGCTTGGTTATTTGCGCAGTAAAAACAACACTGAGTGTATAAAAATGGCGTTACTTTCCTTACCCTACCAGCTCTTTTCCTCTCCTGAATTCCTTCCCATTTTTCATTATTTTGCTCCACGTTTAAACAAATGTATACGTAGACAGTGGAATGCTCAGTGTTTCAGAAGTACCTATAGTTTTGCAGTTCTTTGATATTACATATCTACAGTAGGCTTTGTGTTTTTAAAATCACTCATTTCTAACATCAGCAATCGACAGGAAGTATACAAAGTAAACAAAAAGTTATCCATGAAAACTGCATTTAACATAAGAAAGTAGTAGCAAGAATTGTTCTTTGATAAAAAATTGATTTCAATCTATCGATATTTTATTTTTAAAATATTTTCAAAAAAAATATATCACGAAAAAATTCTCAAAAATTTCTGGGAACACTATTAATATATAGTGTCAATTAATTTTAAGAAACATTTTGAGCACAAAGAACACAAAAGTTAAATACCATTTGGTTTTTCATCTATATATCGGACTTTGCTGAATATCGTTTGTCCCGTGTTTTCATCTGAGTTGTTAACAGTTAAAAATAATTTAAGTTCACCACCAAACACAGGATAGTCGTCTGTTGATTTTAAAGTTGATGATGCACAGCTAGCGGTGTTAAAGAAAAAGCTGACGTCTGCTCCCTTCTCGAGATGAGAGACAAGGGATTGGTAAGAGGTCACTTTAATTGATCTGAAGACATATTTTTTTTATTTTGCATGAGACGATCATTTTGCAAAACCAGAAAAATATAAAAACATGACATGCTCTCCTCAATACAGGATATAGGCTAGGTAAGCATCGCTAATTAATTTGTGGAATTTATATCGAAAAAACGTTAAGAATGAAACTCACTTTTGACTTTCCACAACAAGGAACGAAGACAAATACAGAATTATGTACAACATTGTCAGTGGGATTATAAAATGCATTTGCTCTAACAAATTCTGGAATCATGATAAGATATGGTATAAATTAGGTCAGGAACTTAGTAAGTTATATAGAACTTGTTTCCAATCCTTTTGATGTATTCAATAAAATCTGTTCAAAACAAATTAGGTCAGGAGTAGCCTAAGTGTACATCTGATTTTTTGACAAATTCCTACTTTGTTCTCTTTTCGCCAGTTATACCTTATGACCAAAATGGGGTTTGAAAAGGTCAAGTAGAATTGATATTACCCTATTGTAATCGCAACATTTTGGCCTTTTCCAACAATCAGTAAACAATCTGGACTGTAAAGTATTAAAAAATATATAATGCGGTACGAATATAGGATCTCCCTATAAACTTTTATTGTATGAAAAATTAACAAATTTATTGTATGAAAACATTAACGTAGTCAAAATGTGAGTAGTTAAACAGATAAAACTAGATTACCTAAATTTGAGCGTAGAAAATCTGCTATTTTTACTTGGACTACACACTGACTGGAAGCTTGCATAAATACTCTCGTCTTTACAGATTTTTACCATCCAGCTATATGGAACTTTTAGAAAATTTGAAATCACAATTTTTTACCAAAATAAATAACATCGAAACTACAACTTTATAACAGTTTATACAACTAGGTAAATTAAAAACCAGACTTTTTGACATCATAAACAACTGCTTCTTCAGTAAAAATTTGCATATCTTGCCATTGGTCATCTGCAAACTTATTGATTAAAAAACATTCCGATTCAACATACAAGTACTCCGAGGTTGATATTTAAAAATATGGCTTGAGTTTCTGATTGACAGTATCTAATTTGTTGTTTTCGGAGACCAGGTGTTCCAACAATCTGTTGGAATTCCCATGGGTTCTAATTGTACCCGTTACAGATCTGTTGCATCTATATTGAATCAAAATTTAATTAAAAAAAAAAGTCTCTTGCTAAGGCCTTCTATTCGAAATTTAGATATATTGACACAAGAGTGTCAAATCTCATTTGATACTCTAAAACTTAAATTAACCTCAGCGCCCATTCTTGCTCATCCGAACATTAATGATACATTAATTCTTAAAACGGATGCTTCGAATTCGGAAATTGGGTACGTACTCTCTAAAAAAGACAACGGTAATCGTGAAAAAGTCATTGTTTATGGCGGGCGTTCTCTCTCGAAACAAGAACGAGTCTGGTCAGCATCAGATATCGAAAGTTTAGCAGTTATTGAAGGTATAAGAGAATACAAAACTTACCTCTCTAACAATGAATTTGTTGTCTACACTGATCACAAACCCCTGCAATACCTTATGTAGCAAAAAAACACATAATGGAAGACTTGCAAGATGGTCACTAGAATTACAAGGTTATGGTTTCAAAATTATTCACAAAGATGGTAAAAGCAAATATGCCAATGTAGTGACTGATGCACTCAGCAGGCGCACTTACGATGAAAATTCAAAACGTATCACAAATACACATGTGGTAGAAGCTTTTCAGCATGATACAATGTTAGAGGTCGAGTTCCACTACGACAGTTGTGCTCAGGTGACCACTGTGGAACCTGATCAAGCATGTCGAACCACAACTGGATTCGAATCATAATGACTTAGGTCAACTTCAAAAGGACTGCCCTGATTTCAGAGGCATATACCTCTATCTAGAGTCAGAAACTCTACCAGAGATCACCAAAGAACGTAAAAAGATAGAAGAACAACCAGAATCATACAGTCTTTGTGATGGTATATTATATCACTGGTTCCAGAGACGGACTAGAAAGGTCAAAGAAAGTAATCGTTGGCTAAAGCAATTAGCTTTACGAAAAACGCTTCGTCTAGAAGCTCTTCAAACTTTTCACGATAGTAGCACAGGTGGTGCACACTTTGGCATTAAAAAAGGTCATGACAGCACTCAAACGGAAATATCACTGGCCACGTATGCATCAAGAAATATATGATTACAACCAATCTTGTGAAAGATGTCAGAGATTAAAGAAAGATCATCACAATAGACCACCCCCTCTTACATCAATGCCTATTGATGGTTCCTTTGAGAGATGGCACATAGACGTTTTGAAACTTAAATTAGCAAAACATCCGAAGGTTATCAGTATTTAAGAGTGCGCCATTTAACTCTGGACACGACATTGTCTAGACTTTTTACTACCATTTCTAATTGTGATGTCCAAAAATAAATCATAGCACTTGGGTATCACAGGGTCTCATGTTGAACTCACAAATATCTCTTTTTTTAAAGATATGAAGTCCTAAAAGTCAGAATCGCATGGGAGAATGGTGGGATTTTTAGTCCTACCAACTATCCCACCTTTCTCCCATGGGGGAAAACGTGTCAGATGGGATATTTTCTCCCATTGGGATTTTATCTCCCACAAATTTGCTCAAATGGGATAAATCCCACGGATATTGACAATGAGTCATTTTCTCCCATACATTGTTAAACATGGAGTATATCCCATATAGATTATGATAATGACATCTCACTCATCATAATGGTGACTTCATCTTTTGTATCGTCAACTTCCTTTATAAATACCATTACCACCTGCATACACATGGATTTTATGTCTCTCAAATGATTCCATATGCAAGAGCTTTAAACTCAACATTTCGCAAATTTTATAGTCAGTACTGTGACCTTTTTCGCAAATACAATCTGTTGTTTAGTCGAATGTTGACTGACGTTTTTCATACAAATTATTTTAGAAATGACTCTAATTCTTGGCCAAATTATTCGAGTATAACCTGGTTTGGGTCAGTTTACGCTTTATAATCCGCGAAGCGGATTATAAAACAGCGTAAACTGACCCAAACCAGGTTATACTCGAATAATTTGGCCAAGAATTAGAGTCATTCCTTATAATTTAATTTTAAAATCATGAAATAACTATGGGTGTAAAATTTCGTTGCTTTTTATTAGTTCAAATTTGCCGCTCAATAATACAACCTTAGTAACGGAAGTAACGGAAGTGATAGGAAGCAAGGGGAGGTAAAAACTGATACATAGGCCTAGAAGCCTTTTTACATGTGGTAAGAGGGAATTATCGTTTGAAGTTAAAGGTACGTTTATTAAATCTGGAATTTTCCATGAATCTCGAGGAATGGAAATGAGAGGATTGTATGGATACAGATAATTCAGCTGGTTGTCAGGGGGGTGTGTCCCCATACCAAACCAGGTTATACAGAAATAATTTGTGTTCCTTTTTGGATATTAACCAATCAGAGGCAAGAATACAAACAAAATTAAATTATTTGGCAATCATTTTCGCACTCAAGGGATTTTTCGTTTTACCCGATCATGACAAAGAGCATTCGGCGGGGATGCTTACTCCTCATGGCACATGAACCCACCTCAAGATAAAATGCTGATAAGAAATGTCAAACTTAAACGGTGCATTTCACCTACATTTGTGTGTCACCGCATCAAAGACCTACTTATAATGACTTACTCACCGGCGCACCACGTTTCCACAAACTGTTATTAATGTCCTTCCTGATATACATGTACTTTATTTTAGCAAATAAAATATTCAACTAAAATTGACAGAATTTTCATGTTGATAGTCATGTTGTATATTTTATTTGCTAAAGTAAAGTAAATCAGGAAGGACATTAAGTTTCTGCAAGAAGGATTACGATTCCCCAATTTTTTTTACGATTCCGCAAAGAACATTGTATTACGACTCCACAAATAGGTTACCCGGGTCACTGGAACATAGGTAAAAACTCATATAAATTAAAATTAAATATAATAAATTATATTATCAATAATATACTAGTAACACAGTGCAACATTAATATTCTGATCAAATAAGTTAACACTTGTAAAATATCGCATACGTAGATATTTAAGTTAAATGGGCATGCTGACGCATCTTATTGATTTACTCATAATTAAGGGGCCTGAGCCATAAAACTATAAGACGAGCTCACTTTTGATCTTGGTCTCACTTTTCCAATATCAATTCTTCTTGTAAAAGTGAGACTGAGATAAAAAAGGGAACTCGTCTAATTTTATGACCCCGGAGCCTGGTGTTGCATTTAAAAGTATTAACTTTCAAATAACTTGATGATACAAGAATATCAACATTCTCGTCTGAAGACAACAATTAGCAAATTCTACGGTCGATACAATGACCATGTTAACAAATACAGTACAGTATATCGTTAAGTCGAATGTTGACTGACGTTTTTCAAACATGTTAGGCCGTTATTTTCACACTAAATTGTCAAGGGATATTTCCGTTTTCATTTCATATGACAAGGAGCACACGATGGGTGTGACCGGTCGACAAGGAATGCTTATTCATCTATGGCACCTAATCCCACCTCTGACATTTTTAGAGGTTCGTGTTTGCTTTGCTCCCAATTCGTATTGTTTCAATGGACTTGATTAGTCCCTTATCTTCATATTTTATGATTTTGGGCCAGGTATTCCAGTAATCTGTTGGGATCACAACGGATTCTTACTGTGCTACTCTGTTAGCCGAAGTAGAATTTATTAATAACATTCTACATGAGAGAATGAAATCGTCAATTTGTCATTAAGGTCAGACGACACGTTCCTCAAATATATGTTTTGTATACCTTGGTATTATATCAAAAAGTATTCATAATTGTCATTCATTTGTGATTTCTAAATTGTTTTCAGAATGTTTTAAAAAATAAGTACACAAAAAATGGTTATATTGGCAATTCAAAAGATTATCCCTAAGGATTATGTAAGAAATGTTACCTCTGGTATCTTGCCCAAATGCCTGGTAAGGTACCTCAATTTTTGGCGAAGAAACTTCTTTAAGTAGCAATACTTCAATGAAAAATTCTTGAGAAAAATTATATACTTTCGAGGAACGTGTCGTCTGACCTTAAGATATATTATAATTATATATGTCATAATATATAAAGCTTTTGTAGTTTGTTTACCATGTTACAAACATATGTTTTACATACGAATTATTTGTAGAATATAATACATATAATTATGTCATACCTAATGTGGGTTATTCACATATGCTGAAATGATAAGAATGTAACACGTTTATGACCATGCGTATGTAATATTTTGACTTATACCTAGTTCAAATCTCAGCATTTCAATGTATATGAGTGTATTATTTTTCCTTGCTTAGTCTTTTGCACTTTCTTTATTTACCTATTCAGTTTTATTGTTTGTTTCAATTTTATTTATTTATTTCATTATTTTTCTTGTATCTTTTCATGCATATTTGTCTCTTGCACTTTTTTACTTACTTTTTCATTTTTGTTGTTTGTTGCACTCTTTTATTTTATTTTCATTATATTGTATAATGAGAATGTATGCTATAGGTAATAACTTTTGTGTATAATTTATCTTTTTCATTTCTACCTTTTCTAGCTTACATTAGAAATTAATATAATTTATTATGAACAATTTCGTCATTAATTGTAAACCATTGCACATGATAATTGTCAATATTCCTTTGTAACCTTGACTTCCTTGGAGGGGACTTATATAGGCTATGCCTGATGTCCAATCCAATTATATGATTTGACTTTGCATAATAAAATATTGATTAAATTAAATTAACATACGTATGTTGCTTGTTTATTATTTATTTTGGCTCCTCCTTCCCTTTAAAAAGCGACACTGTGTGTCTATAAAGTGTGTTTGATTTGATATATGTTTCTTTTTCCAATTTAGCTGGAGCATAAATGTTCCTGGGAGGAATTCTTACAAGGAAAATAAACATGACGGCCAAAAATATTATGTTTCTACGTCTTAAATATGCTTTTTATGACTCTTTCTGTGACGATGAGTTGCCTGCAAGCAACATTTGGCCCAAATCTAAAGTAAATACAAGATTCTATGTATGGAAATTTAATTATTGTCTATGTAACTTTTTATAGTTTAAAATTCTCTTATACCAGTATTATGTACATGTATTTCTGGTTACAATATATTGCCTGAAGTATGTCGGATCCCTGTTTTGGAAAGATCGTACTTTGAAAAATGACAGATATAAAACAACTTCAATAATTGTATAAGAATTATATTCTATGTTTATCCATATTATATAATATATACTGAAAATATCTTCATATGCATAAAGAAGACATAAAGAAAAACTTAATTTCTCGAATTTCAATTCTTAAAAAGATTTCTTGTGTAAAGTTTAAGACATACCGGGTATTTTATACATGTACAGATTTCCGAGGAGTTCGTCTGTTGACCCTTCAAATTGGCTATTAGCGGTGGATGCGGTTGGGCAACTAAAAGTGTAAGGCACAAAACAATGATGGTATACGCCTCTACATGGAAAGAAAGAATCGCCAAAAAAAAAAAGAAAAAAGAAAAAAATCGACTTCACTGCAGTGAACGAAGTTGGAACCGACATATATATATAAAGTCATGATGTAGCAATACACTTGTCGCATTAAAGGCCACGGTTCATCATCTTTCTGTTAACTCGTAGAAATTTCGATTAAAACTTCAGCATACTTTGACAGAAATCACCTTTTAACCTGACAATTCTATTTGACTAGATTTAGCCAAGGCTTGGTGGTCAAGTCGTTCAATAGAATTCTTGTGATAACTTATAGTCTTGGAAACTTCATACTATCTTAACTATCAATTGGAGAGCATGTGGAGTAATAGAAACATGCTAAACACCTAAACGGAGCTGATGTCATTATTATCACATTATAAATACATTACAGGTTACATGGCATTTGGCCATTCTCGAAAATTGCCTCATTCATGTCCAGCAAAACAGAAGGAATGAAGCTGGTCAGGTCAACAATTGGCGATTATCTTTATCAGATTAACTAATGCATGTTTATTTTCAATGCATACACTATGTCCCTCTACCTTTATAAATCTACACATACCGTATTCATAACTTGCAGACTTTTGATTTATTCATAGTTAAAAAAAATATCGAAGTGAAGGATAGATGTTTATTCCTATGCTTTAAATTAAATGCAAAGATATTAGCTCATTCGAGACCCGTTTATTTTATTTTTTTTTTCAATAAGACATTTCTTAATTATCAAAATTGTTCACCAATTGACGTTAAGATTTTTATTTGTTGTAACTTTTTCTTTCAAAAGCACTGGTTATATCTTTCTATTCTTTGACAGGCCCGTTGGAATAAATTTCAGTTTCGGGTGGACACAATCAAGGAAAAATTCCTCACTGAGCATGAAAAAAAATTATCCGAAGTTTAATATTTACATGATTAAGGGGACACAAGCATAAAGTAGCTATGTTATAAATGGGCAAAATTATTGAGCTCACGGTCCTCAACCCTCCCCCTTCCCCTTTCCTATGTCCATGAAAAAAAAAAGAATTTAAAAGTAATGTAGTGTATATAGAACCAGGTCTCTGATAGAATAAGTTTCTGAATTGAACTTTTCTTGTTTCTTAGTGCTCAAAAGAATTCATTTCATGACTCAGAGTCATGTTGATTACACTGGATTTAACTTTTCCTGATTCATCGCGTAAAAATAAAGAACGAGGGCGCTTTTGATTGGCATTCGGCAGGAATCTGGGCGCACTTGAAAAGTGAAAATTTCATTGATCTGTCACATAAAATTTTAGCATTCTTTTGCTGTATTTTGTTCCTGTGAAATAGGAAATGGAAATATTTTCCCGATATTGTATTTTGATTTGCTAAAAAAGAACTTGAAAATTGGCTAGATGAGTCATTTGGTTCAAATTGTTACATTTTCAAACACGTTTTTCTAAAAATTTGCTACCTCTGGGTCATCTCTCCATGATTTTGAAACGTTATTTTTGTGCATTTTAATTCAAAGAAACGAACAAACATTTGTAAAAAATGGAGAGAAGACCCAGAGACAATAAAAAATGAACTTTTTCCAAAAAAAATTCCAACGTGTAAATGCGGTGCTTCATTGTCGCTTTAAAAACCATAAAATGTGTGGAGCGGTGATAGCTCAGTAGTATGCGTAACCCGTACAGTGCAATGAAAAATAAATATTTTTGGTTCGATCCTCGCATGGAGCGTTAATATTTTTTTTTTTAGTACAAACAATCAATTCTTTTGTCAGTTTAATTTTGTGTACTGATTTATTTTCAAATAGATAAATTCTGGTTCTGTTGCACCGAAAGCGAAAGCAATTTTTCCAAGCTACTGACACTTTATATATATGTAATTGCATTTAACTATACCCCATAGGTGTTTATTACTTATGTGAAGCGTTACTAAGTTTTACGTTTAGTAATTATTAAGATAAGCGGACTGATATATTAAATTCGACACAGTATTTCAAACTAAATGTAACATTTTCCCATGTGTGTAACTTTGTAAAGTGTGTCCAGCTGTGGTCAGCCGACCAAATCGTAGACATTTAAACTATAAATGTTTCGTACGCCTTATTCCTGCAGATCACACGCCAAACACGCCCATCTTCTTTGCTCTCAAGTCAGACAAGCTTTTTAGGAAAGCTAACACTTGTGGTAATTAGAGTTATCTTTCTTATCAAAGGACTGATGAACCTTAAAGTGTGAGAGTCTGAAACATTTGCTATAAGTTGATATATAATGATTTTAAAAATGAAACAAACATTCCATATGGTTCAAAAATGTTTCTTGTGGATGTCTAAAATCAATCAGCATGCATTTAGCATAGCCCGAATAGATTGATGAACGACTCGTCTATAACCCTTGCGCCATTTCTCTTTGATTTGCTTGTTGTTGAATATTTTTTTGTCATTTAATTCGATTACAGTACGTTCTTTTTGAGAAAATATAAGGTAAACTTTAATGATTATAAACTTTATTCAATATGTAAGCAATTGGATACATTTTCTTCCCCTATAATTTGATATTTTGTTCTTTAATGAGACTAAATCCCGGTCTATCTCCAAAACAGCTAAGTTACTTGTATTGCCCTGAATATTGTTTACAGATAGGCCTATAAGTATTCACGACTCCCTTTATTTTCAGAAAAAGAACACTAGTGTTGAAATGAAAGACTAACAATCAGAAGTCACTTTCACGTCACGACGTGTTGCAAGAAACTGTGGAGGTCCGATCAAACACAGGTAACAATATTATAACATGCTCAGTCAAACACTTTAAGTGCAATTAAAAAGAAAAAAACTCTGTGGATTTTTTTTATTTTTAAGGGATTGTTTCTGCAAAATGTGTCATCATCAGGTCAATGTATATCTTCATCAATTATTGTGCATTCTTCTGCAAATGCTTCTATTTTTAAAGTGTAAAACATATTGGTCCAAATTGATGTTTCCGATATGAGATCTTTAACTCATTCTTGCTGCAAATATCAGCAGTGGGGTTTGTTTCATGCTATTATTTATACTGTATACGTACTCTGTTCAATATATATTCCTCACTCCTGAATTCAATTGAACAACTTGTTACACACACTTTATTTACTTTTTTTTGGAACTTTTTATTTCCAAAATTTCACAGATTAAAGTAAGATTTTATGAAAATGTTCATTCAGATGATCAAAGAGCATGAAGCTGACCATTAGCTTGGAATAAATAAAGCAACAAGTCCAATATCTCTGATCAGACTTTGACTGTTTTACATGTTGTGACTTGTGAAAATGAATATATAACTTAGTAAAATATGTCAGAGAAACTAGCAACACCATTAAAGAAAATGTATGAAATCCATCATCTAAGTCAATATTTCAAATGGTTTGAGCCTTATTTCATGCATAATGCATCCAGTCACAAAGGTGTAAAATTTAATCTCCATAACACCTGTAAACTTTTCTCTTTTATTCATTTGTATTGTAGGCACCATGTGTGCTCTACCAGGTGCAGGTGGACAAGGGAAGCGGAAAGAAATTTATAAGTATGAGGCACCATGGACAGTCTACAGCATGAACTGGAGTATCCGTCCAGACAAACGATTCCGACTAGCACTTGGGAGCTTTGTAGAGGAATACAACAATAAGGTCTCACATACATATTGAACTTTGATAATGAGAAGTTATTTTAGTACATGTAGTGTGCAGATTGTGTAGATTGTTATACCATGCTTATGATTGTTGAAAGCTTTTTTTGTTTCTTTTTTTGATTAAATTTAGAGATTTTATTATGTATTATGTGGCTTAGATGCAATTCAAAAACTAGATATGAGAAAAAACAGAAACTTACAATGCACATTGTACATATAAATGGATTTAAAGGTGTTAGAAATATGATAAAAGAAATGTTGAATTTGTATTGGTTAACTTAATACTGGCTCAGTATTCACTGAAACGCTTTCAATAAGCTTATAATACAGTAGAAGAATAAGATTGTGGGATATTTATAGACTTAGCTTCTTGTATCAAAGAATAATTGGGATATATTTTATAGTGCTGTTAAGATATAAGATTATTCAATGTGTGTTTTTGTCATATGCTTGAGATATAAGAAATTATAGAGTTAAATCATGAGGGCCAATCTTTAAGACAAGAGAACTGATAAATAATACAGTTTTAAAACTTCAGTCGGATCTAGAAATTGCAGAAATGTTTTAAATTTTCATTCAATATAAATCAGCATTTGAATGGAGTAATATAGAATTGATAGTAATGAATGAGTGTTTACTTCTTGTTTTTAGGTACAGATAGTGTCCCTTGATGAGGAAACCTCAGAGTTTACATCAAAGAGCACATTTGATCACCCATATCCAACAACCAAAATAATGTGGATCCCTGATGCTGTAAGTATGGTACAGTTGATATATATCTAGTTCACAGTAAATATATGTGTAATATATTAGTTCATGAAGGACATATATCATTGATTTATTGTAACAATATGTGTAATTTATAGTAACAGAACTAAAGATGTATGTATACAGTATTAACTTTATGGTACAGCACACCTACTTTTGGATAATTCCCATACTATTTTGTTCCTTTTCTTAAAGTGTAGTCTTTGCTTTTACAGAAAGGGGGATATCCTGATTTGCTAGCCACCAGTGGTGACTATTTACGAGTGTGGAGGGTCAGCGATAATGAATCTCGGCTGGAATGCCTCCTCAATAATGTAAGTCCTTAATAATGCTATTTACGTGTACAATGTATATTGTTATGATAATTAGGGTATTGATTCGAAGAAAGATATATCCAGGTTTGGAGACCTTTTGCTTTATGTTTTGGAAAAAATACTAAGAACTTGATAACAGGGATTATGTATTTGCATCATTAAAAAAAACTCAGAAATACATGTACATATATATGAAAATAAAAATTATGTTCATTCATGTAAATGGAAATGCAAAACAAATTTAAATCAGAATTGTTATTACAGAACAAGAATTCAGATTTTTGTGCTCCATTGACTTCCTTTGACTGGAATGAGGTGGATCCTAATCTCTTAGGAACGTCCAGCATTGATACAACATGCACAATATGGGGTCTAGAGGTTTGCCAATTTTCTCCATAAATCATTAGGTGCTCTTGTTACAGCAGTATGAGCTGTATTATAGAGAATTTTAGTTTGCTTTGAAATTGTGCTATTATGATAATTCTGCATGTAACTTAAACCTGTATGATCAGTAAGACTAAAATTACTAGTGTAGGTTAAATTTTATCAGAAGAAAGAATTCTGTACTTTGGAATGTATAGTATAATATGAGAAATGAATTTTTGTATAGGACTACAATTTTGCTTCAGTCATAGCTTGTAAATGGTTTCTCCAATGCATATATGAATAACAAAAGCTAAAAGATCCTCATTTTTTCTGTCATTGAAATAGTGAATTACAACTCTGCAACAGGTTTCAGACATAGAAATTGCAGCTCATACTGCTTTAAAGTACCATTGTCATGTGGTATTTTGTTTGTTTTTACTTTGAATTTTAGTACAGTGTATTCTTTCTCTGTGTTAAAAGTGATGTTATTAGAAAAGTAAGAACTGTAAGCAAATCAATCTCTCTTAAGTAGGTGAATTGTTATGATGTGGAATTACCATTGGTATAAAATCCCTTCTATTACATCAAGAAGAATCTAAAAGATATAGGGGATGGAAGGCTGCTACTCTTTTATACAAACCTAATCCTAAATTATTTTGATAGACAGGGCAAGTTCTGGGTCGTGTGAATGTTGTGTCTGGCCATGTAAAAACCCAGCTGATCGCCCATGACAAGGAGGTGTACGATATCGCATTCAGTAGAGCGGGAGGAGGAAGGGACATGTTTGCTAGTGTTGGTATGTCAACTTTTTTTTTTATATTACAACATTTTTGACTCTTGAAAACTTAGAGGAATTCTGGAGAACTTCTCAAGTTTGAAATTGACAGATCAAGAGTCCAAAAATTGCCAATTACCATAACTAATTGTCTATAATATCAAATGATATTTTTCGTAAAATGATATATCATTTGTTTTTTAAAAGTATTAAAGTATTTATTTATCTAATGTTTACCAGAAAAATGTAACTAATGAAGTATAATTGTTATTTGAACTAATAAGACATCTGAGTAATTCATATATGATTTATTTTATGTAATAAATGACTCAGTGACTCAAGTGAACCTGTTGCTATCAGTTTCCATCCAGCATTGTGAAGTACCAGTACATTGTATATGTTGTACATTACATGTATGTAAACTTTAGAAGATATTCAGCTTCTCAGGAAAAACTCTACCAATCTCTAAAAATATTGATATGTTGTATCAATGGATGGAGGGAAACAGTAGTTGTGAATTTCATCGTCCCTGCTTTCCTAGGGCCTGAGTGGGCCAAAACAATTAAAATCTTAAAAATTCTTCTTCCTATCCATAGACATTTAGGAAGGGGATTTTTTGCATGTTTATCAACTGGCCTTCTATCAAAAATTAGAAGTTTATGTCTCCTAGGTAAAGGATTTAGACACCATGGTGGCGTGCTAAGTTGGTCACTTATAGAAAATACACTACCCTTAAGATTCTTCTTTTTTACTAATGGAAACCTAGAGGGCAGACTGTTTACATGATTGCATGATTATGATGAGCACCTAAGCCTCTGAAGGAATGGTGAAAGTTATGCTCCCTGGGTGTAAAGGATAAATGAATCAATATTGAAAATATTTGCCTTTGAAAATCTTATTTATTCATGGAAATTTAGCAGCAAGAGTCAATATCAAGTTGACTATTCAGAAAAAATGCACATGTATTTTAGTTGAAATACATATCTACAAGATGACTTGTTTTATACAAAATTCAATTTTTCAATAATATTTTGAGTAGTTAGAGAAACTTCTCCAAGCTGTTTTACATGTAAAAAAAAAAAAAAGATAGCCAAATATGTTCTTTTAATTTATGCAGGTGCTGATGGTTCTGTCCGTATGTTTGACCTGCGACACCTGGAGCATTCAACAATTATTTATGAGGATGCTCAACACCACCCTCTCCTCAGACTGTGCTGGAACAAACAAGACCCTAACTACCTCGCTACAATGGCTATGGATGCCATGGAGGTACAGTATTACTAAACACTCAATGATGGTTTGTCTCTCAGGAAGGAGGGGTAAAGCAATGAGGATCAGTGAATGTATATGTAATTTTTGATGTTCTCTTTAAAATGCAACCATACTCTGATGAATTTGCTGATTCTTGTGATTTGCATAATGACATATTTATTTCTATAGTAATAAAAGACATGAACTTTAAAAGATAATTAAGTATGTTTTTTTGAATATACAAGTAAATTAAGCTCTATTTCATATTATATGCCAGGTATTTGAACTAAAGAATGATATATACTTGAATATGAAGTAAAATCAAAATGAAAAAAATAAATGTAATGAACTTTAAGAAAAATATATTATTTGAAAGTAAAGACATAAACTTATGTAATGTTTTCATTATCTGAACTCTTAAATCTTTTTATGTTTAACAGGTAATTATTTTGGATGTGCGAGTACCTTGTACACCTGTAGCTCGCCTGAACAATCACCGAGCCTGTGTAAATGGCATTGCTTGGGCCCCACACTCCAGTTGTCACATCTGTACAGCTGGTAAGACATTTCTAATGTCATATTATAGCCTGGGAAAATCATTTTCCTCATTCAAGAGTTTAAACCTAGACCATTTAAACAAATGCAAGCTTTGTTGAAGTATAATGAAAGATGTGATTTAGAATATCCAAAACTGGGTAAAATTGTATTTTAATGCATTGGGTTTAGATATTTGATTAAGATATCCAGTGTGTAATGTAATATCATTTTCTTATATTTTTACTCACCTCAGCCAAAGGTTTTCATGAGCCTAGATTGTCTGCCTTTTTAGCTCACCTGAGCCAAAGGCTCAAGTGAGCTTTTCTGATCACATTTTGTCCGTCGTCCGTCCGTCTGTCCCTCTGTCCGTCTGTCTGTCTGTCTGTCTGTCTGTCTGTCTGTCCGTCCGTCCGTCCGTCTGTAAACTTTTCACATTTTTGACTTCTTCTCAAGAACCACTGGGCCAATTTTGACCAAACTTGGTACAAAGCATCCTTGGGTGAAGGGGGATTTAAATTGTTAAAATGAAGGGCCAAGTCCCCTCACAAGGGGAGATAGTCAAGAGAAGACAAAAATAGGGTGGGGTCATTAAAAAATCTTCTTCTCAAGAACCACAGGGCCAGTAAAGCTGAAACTTATGTGGAAGCATCCTGGGGTAGTGTAGATTCTAAATTGTTCAAATCATGACCCCCGGGGGTAGAGCGGGGCCACAATAGGGAAACATTGAAATATATAGGAAAAATCTTTAAAAATCTTCTCAAGAACCACTGGACCAGAAAAACTGAAACTTATGTGGAAGCATCCTGGGGTAGTGTAGATTCTAAATTGTTCAAATCATGACCCCTGGGGGTAGGGCGGGGCCACAATAGGTATTACAAGGGGGGAAGTCTGGTAATGAACAGCATGGCCAAAGTTACTCAGGTGAGCGATGTGGCCCATGGGCCTCTTGTTTTTCATCTTTCTGGTCCATGTCCTGTGTCACCTGTAAACTTTTAACATTTTCAACTTCTTTTCCAGAACCCCTTGGGCAATTACAAACAACTTGCCACAAAGCATCCTTTGATGAAAGTTTTCAGATTTTTGTAATTGAAGGGCCAAGCCCTCTTTCTAGGAAAAGATAGAGTCAAACCTATCGGGGCATCCACCATTTAGTGACTTCCTGTCATATGGGACCCTTTAATTTTCTTCTGAGAATTTTTCATTATATTTTAGCTGCATTCAGCAACTCCCTGTCTTAATGTGACATACATTTTCCATCCTAAATGTAGTTTAAAGCCCACAATATAGTAATTTTTAGGTCACCTGAGTCACTCAGGTGACCTATTGCTATCCGTTTTTGTCCGTCGGCGTGCGACGTGCATCGTGCGATGTGCGTTAACATTTGAACATTTTTAGCTTCTTCTCTGAAACCGCTCAACGAATTTCAACCAAATTTAGCGTATAGCATCTATGGGTGAAGGGGAACAAAAATTGTGAATTTCATGATCCCTGCCCCCCTGGGGCCTGAGGGGTGGGGCTAAAACCACCAAAATTAATGCAATCTTTAAAAATCTTCTTCTTTACTCCTGGACATCAAGCAGTCAAACTGTTGGCATGATTGTAATAAGCATTGACCCCTCTACCAAAATTGTGAAATTCATGGCCCCAGGGTCAGGGGTTCTGGTGCTAGGGAGGGGTTATATAGATTATATAGTGAAAGTGCATTATTTCTTTGAAAATCTTCTTCTCTGCTCCTGGGTATTAAATAAACTAACTAAGTATATAGTTATGATGAGTAAAAGTGCCTCTTCCAAAATTGTGAAATTCATGGCCCCAGGGTCAGGGGTTCTGGTGTTAGGGCGGTGCTCTATTGATTATATAGTGAAAATGCATTAGTTCTTTGAAAATCTTCTTCTCTGCTCCTGGGTATTAAATTAAGTAATTAAGTACATAGTTATGATGAGCAAGAGTGCCTCTTTCAAAATTGTGAATTTCATGGCCCCAGGGTCAAGGGTTCTGGTGTAAGGGCGTGACTCTATTGATTATATAGTGAAAATGCATTACTTCTTTGAAAATCTTCTTCTCTGCTCCTGGGTATTAACTACAGTAACTAAGTACATAGTTATTATAAGCAAAAGTGCCTCTTCCAAAATTGTGAATTTCATGGCCCCAGGGTCAGAGGTTCTGGTGTTAGGGCGGGGCTCTATTGATTATATAGTGAAAATGCATTAATTCATTGAAAGTCTTCTTCTCTGCTCCTGGGTATTAAATAAAGTAACTAAGTACATAGTTAGGATGAGCAAGAGTGCCTCTTCCAAAATTGTGAATTTCATGGCCCCAGGGTCAGGGGTTCTGGTGTTAGGGCGGGGCTCTATTGATTATATAATGAAAATGCCTTAATTCTTTGAAAATCTACTTCTCTGCTCCTGGGTATTATTGAAACAAATTAAATACATAGTTTTGATAAGCAAGGATGCCTCTTCCAAAATTGTGAAATTCGTGGCTCCTGGATCAGGGGTTCTGGTGTTAGAGAAGGGCTCTATTGATTTAATGTGAAAATGCTTTAATTCTTTAAAAATCTTTTTCTCTGCCCCTGGGTATTATTCAAACAAACTAAGTACATTGTTATGATAAGCAATGATGCCTCTTCCAAAATTGTGAAATTCATGGCCCCCGGGACAGGAGTTCTGGTGCTAGGGCGGGGCTATATAGATCCTGTAGTGAAGGTGAATTATTTCTTTGAAAATCTTCTTCTCTGCCCCTGGGTATTGTTTAAACAAACTAAGTACATTGTTATGATAGGCAAGGATGCCTCTTCCAAAATTTTGAATTTTATGACCCAAGATTTAAGGGTTCTGGTGAGGGGGGGGGGGGGGGGGGGGCTTCTATTGATTATAAAGTGAAAAAGCAAAATTTATTTGAAAATATTCCTTTCTGCTTCTGGTTAAAAAAGCAATGAAGCTAAGTGTATAGTTATGATGAGCAAGAGTGCTTCTTCCAGAGTAGTGAATTTCATGACCCCTGGGTCAGATGTGCTGGTGTGAGGGTGGGGTTCTTGATAATATAGTAAAAATGCATTAATTCTATTACATAATCCTGTTTGCTCCTTGGTGTTAAGCAGATAAACAAAGTGATTAGTTATGATGAGCAAACTTATGGTCCCAGGGTCAGAAGCTCTGGTGTTGGGGGGGGGGGGGGGCTCTATTGATAATGTAGAGAATCTGTAGTATAAATGCATTATTTCTTTAAAAATCTTCTCCGCACCTGGGCATATCAGAGGCAAAAAGAGTAAAAGTTTTAATGAGGAAGATTATTTTTACCAGATTTTTGAACATCTGGACCATTTGGTCAAGTGTTCTGGTCCTGGCCAGGGCTCTTTTATTTTGTATTCTACTGAGAAGAGTTATTCCCCTTTGCCATTTACTTTGATAATTTATCACTGTAAATAATGTACTTGAAAGGTAAATAGAATAAGATAATTATGCAAAAACTTTTATTGTATAATACAAAAAGTACTTTCATAGTTTTAATGATCAGATAGACTTGTAAGTAGTAGATAAATAAAAATGAGATAAAAATAACTTGTCTTATTAAATGTTCATCAAGGACCAAGAGAGGCCAATGTAAAAAATTTCAACAAAGGATTAAAATAGTACAGAAGCATTGATAATTTGTTAATATACTGTATGGTGATAGTGATAAATGGGGATCAGATTTATAGAACATAATTTATAAACTGTTAATGAATATTAAGACCAATTATTTTGTTGATCATGATCACGCTATTTTTCTTGCTTTTTGGCAACAAAGTTTCACCTTTCAGTTCATTTTATACTCTATGCATCCTTTAAATTGTTGTATCATACTCAGGTGACCGTTAAGGCCCATGGGCCTCTTGTTGGTAATGCTTTTGTTAACAAAAGTAATAAACTGTTCCCCTTTCATTACCTCTGTTTTCATAAAGAAGTATGCAAAAACATATTTATCAATATTAATAATATTTCACAGTGTGTGAAGGGCTGAGGTGACTCAGATGAGCACTGTGTCCTTTAGGCCTTGTGTAATTTTTTGATATATGCTATTTATTATCATAATAATGTACAATGTATGTTCCTGGTCTCTCATATCCTAGAAAAACATTTTTCTAAAATGATAAAAAGTTTTTCAGAAGTAGCGTTTTGCTGAATGACTATAAATGTTTGATTCCACAGCTGATGACCATCAGGCCCTGATCTGGGACATCCAGTCGATGCCCCGAGCAATCGAGGATCCTATACTGGCATATACAGCAGGAGGGGAGATAAACCAGATTCAGTGGTCATCAACACAGCCAGACTGGATTGCTATCTGTTATAATAACTGTCTCGAAATCTTACGTGTGTGAATTAAAGGGAGATAATTTGTGCTAATATACATCTAGTTGACAAAGAATGTGGTTCATGTAGAAAAATATTTTAGAAAAGAAAATATTAGTGTGTACAGCTAATTTTGAGGGAACTATAAAAACCACAAATTATGTGTCATTATTAAAATTGCAGAATGTTCATCCTACTTTTTAAAGTGCATATACTTACTACTGTATGTACATACATATGACCAGTGTTCAAAGTAAGAATTGTTCAGAGGGATTATTATTTAAGTGTACAGTACGTTAAACATTATTTTGGGTCCTTGAAAGGCACAAAAAAATTTAGCCAACCTTAACCCGGGGTACTAATTTGAAGAAAAAAAAATTAAAGGGGCCTGGACACAGTTGCATTGTTTACAATTTTTGTCTGGTGTCAGTCTGCATGTATTTGCCCTTCCACACAATTAGTCAAACCATTTTAGTTTCTAAAACCTTTAAAAGGATTTTATCACAAGCATGAGTGAGATTGAACACTAATGACTTCATACAGTTCAATGTCATGCAAAGCTGTGAATACAGTAAGTTAAAAAAAAGTCTAAAATTCCTAGTCATATTGAAAATATGGTAAAATTTTTATACTGAATATTGTATGTAGAAAATTTAAACCACTAAATGAATATCTCAGATATAATTGATAAGCAGAATTAAGAAATTATTCTCAGAACCCTGATGATAAGATTCCTGATGGAGTCAGTTCCGTAGACTCTCAGATGTACATGCTTTATTACAGCACTAAAAATTTAATAAAAATGTCTATTCAACAGTGTAATGTAGTTAAATGAAAAAAATTCATGGGATTTATTCATACCAAGAGTGTGTGCATTATTTTAGGTTGTGTTCAGAGGGCAACTATTATATTAGGTTACAGATTGTCACACAAAAGAATTTTTTTTATAATATGATATTTTTGAAATAAATGTGTACTTAATAATTATTGCATGAAATGCAATGCATAGTACATGTATTAAGATATATTTTATTAATATAATACATGTTTGTGTAAATATTCCAAGTGTAATATTTGTTCTAGGAAAACCTTTAGTCAGCAGTTATTAATGATGATGAATCAGTAGACTAATACATTTTTTTTATTGTAGCAAAAACTTATTAATTAAAAAATAAAGTACACAATCAGGAATTTCTAGATTATGTGTGTGATGAAATACTTTATGTATTATGAATGTACATTTATATTGACTTTGTTTCATATATTTACATATGAATATCAGGAAATTCATTTCAAACAATGTCTAAATTTGGGTAATGTTGAAAAGTATATTTTCACAACACTGAAAAAATTGGGAAATTATTTTAAAACTTTTACCATGCTTATGGCATATGCAGGAATGTTCAAAGCTTAAAAAGTGGATTTTAGAATTTGAAAAGAGAATAGAGGATAAGGATAATATCCTGTATTCTCTTTTGAAATTTTAAAATCCACATTTTCAGCTTTGAACCATTCCTGCATATGCCATAAGCATGGTAAAAGTTTGAAAGTGCAAAGAATGCTACAAGTATTTAAAAAAAAAAAAAAGAAAAGAGTGGAGAGAGAAAAAAAAGTAATTTTTTACATTGTTTTCTCCAACCTCCATATCCCATTTAATTCATTTCATTTTAATTTTGTAATAATTATAAAAAACATTCACAATAGATTTTAGATTATGCCAAGGTCAAATTGTAGTGAACTTGATGGTTACAAGGGGTCTTTACTTTTAAGTATATACACTTTTTGCAGTGAAACATATTTTATTAGCCTCATGGATAGAATCTTTTACACTGCTATTTAATTATTTTATACTTTAAATTTGTCATGTCTTGTCATATAAGGTTATTTAATGTTTTCTTTTGTATCTTGTTAAAATTATATTTTTGGCCATTCTTGGTTCATATAATTTTCACATTTCATCAAATACCAATAATTTATGTACATATAAATTAACTATAATTTTTATTTTTTCATGTGTTTAAATTTGTCTCCAGAATTTCAAATAAAATGTAGTATTAGAGATCACATTCAGGCCTTGTACTTATGTGTCCAGTATGTGAAGAACAGATCTTTCCAATGTTTTCTTCTGTATCTCATTACAGATTTAACTCATAGAAGATTAAAATACAGAAGTAATTTTTATGGCCCAACATGAACAGGACCGGGACTTGTCTGCCTTCTGTGCTTTGTGTTTAGCTCAGTTTCATAGAAAATGTTTAAGATATTTTTATCAAAATTCTAACACTGATACATATTGAGGAGAGTTGTTCAATTTTGTCAAAATTTTCTGACCTTGACCTTCCCTAGGACTTGATCTTGCTATTCCTCAGTGTGCATTTAGCTCAGTTTCAAAGAAACTGTTCAAGACAATTTTTATCAAAACTCATCAAGTGATACATATTGGTGAAAGCCTTTCAACAATTTCATAATTTTGACCTTGACCTTCCCATGACCTTGACCTCACCTTCCCTTATTCTGGATTTTGCTCAGTTTCAAATTTGAAACTGTTCAAGAAATTATTGTCATAATTTATTCACTGTCGGTTACATATTATTATTATTGTCATAATTTTCTCCTTGACCTTCCCAATGACTTTGACCTCACCATTCCTCATTTCGTATTTTCCCTAGTTTTCGAAGAAATGTTAAAGATAATTTCATCAAACTCCATATATTAGTACACACTACTTAATTTGAAAACGACTATGAATCAAAATCGAAATTGTTTTGACTTCAGTAAGCCTAAGCTAGATGGCACCTCATCAATTATCATTCCATCCACTCAATATATACAATAAATCACCTATAATGGAAAATCAGGATTCTTATGAGTTATATAAATATAATTATTATAAAGACTCAATACAATGAAAAATAATGTGACGACCTATTTTAAGAATGAATTGTCTAAATTTCGATTCGTCAGAAAAATTGTTCGTGTTATTGCAAGAAAATCTAATAGATTATGGATTTCAAAATATTAAAATGGTTAAAACCATAAAACTTTTTAATACATCATAAACCTCTTAAATTTCTATCAAATGGCTATTTGATCATATTGATAGTGTTATTGCATTATAACATGACATTTTCGGGCATTAGAGATATTTTACGCACTTCCGCTTTATGGACCAATCGTAGATCCTCCGCGCGCAATTTGGTGTTTGTATAAAGCAATCAACATTTCGATAAAGTTACGAGAATAATGCTAAACGATTAATTTTGGAGAAATTTCAATAAATGGTGATGGCAAGTGTAACCAAATTGTCTACATCAAGTGGACATGTGTGATCTGTCTGACAGGTAGGTAAATTTCATTGATGTTGGGTTATTCTGATGAATACAGCTCTGTGTGTTTGCAAGTTAAAATGACATTGGTTAAAGAATGACATAATTTGGACATGTTTTTGAATTGTTCGTCGTTCCTCTTACATATTGGCGCTAAACTTGAGGGGGAAAGTATTATGACGTCATTTTGACGCGTTCAACAGCTGATCTGGAATGCCATCGCGTGTTTGCGAAATTAATGATGAGGAAGCACCATTCTATTTGAGCAAAGATGGAAATTTTGCCCTCATACAAATATGGACATGTTTATGTCAGGTTAATTATATTATGTTTTTTCATATGTATGCTGACAAGTGTAAATTGGAGCAGGTGGTGCATTTATATGCAATATGCTCCCTGGGGTCATCATCATGATCATTGACATGATATCAGATGAACGGAAATGTTAAGACATTGCTTTTGTATGTGTAGCAATGTTTTTTGATTATAATGATAACTGTTTTCTTTAAATATGCTTTTGGTTGATGGCTGAATTGGAATTTGAATCCAAAGACTGAAGTATGATAAAAGTCATGACTCTTATTTTTATTTAAAGAAAAGTGGCATATGTCTGACAACCAAAATTCAGTGTTGTTTATATATGTATGTAATGGTTTGGGCCGTGGATATCGGCCTGGGTAGCTCAGTCGGTATAGCACCTGACTAGTGATGCAGGGGTCCCGGGTTCAAATTCCCGGTCCAGCCATACATTTTCTCCTTTCCTGTTACAGATTTGGTGCCGTTGACCACCCCTGGACTTGCAGGTGAAAGTCCTGCCAGAGGTTAATAAGAACTTGGGTTGTGTCTTTGAGGGCGAAGACAATTTAAGGAGGGAGGAATGTAATGGTTTGGGCCGTGGATATCGGCCTGGATAGCTCAGTGGGTAGAGCACCTGACTAGTGATGCAGGGGTCCCGTTACATATGTATAATATATAATATATTATATATATATATATATATATATATATATATATATATATATATATATATATATATGTATATACGTAATGATGTCAGTGGGATTTTTTAAATAAAAAGTTGGTAACGCTACTTTTGTACTAAAAGAAAAAAAATCCTGCTTTGAGAGAGATGCACTCTGCTGGTGTGTGCAGGGATGTAATATTGACTTAGGAAGTAGAATGTCAGTAAAAAACAAAAAATGTAGGGGAAAAAATGATTTTGCAACTCACTATTCTTCTTTAACCATTTCACCCTAGTTTATCCAATAAATATAGCCAAACTGACATCCCAGCCCACAGTTTTAGTTATTAATATTATGTCATTGGAGTAGAGGAAAATATGTGGATTTCATATTGCACAAAAGATCATTTCAGGGTTGTAAATAACATTTAAAACCTTAGAGGCCATGTGATGTGGGCCCCCAAATTTACAAGTTTTACTAGCCCACATTAATGTTTTGGGATCCACATTTTCTCTACTTTGTAAAAAAAAATCTCAATCTTTTTATACCCCCCGCAAACTAAGTTTAGGGGGGGTATATTGGAATCAGCATGTCCGTCTATCTGTCCGTCTGTCTGTCCGTCTGTCTGTAGACGAGATTTTGTCCGGACCATTTCTTGGAAACTGTTGGAAGGATTTGTCTGAAAATTTGTACACTTATTATTCACCATATGAAGGTGTGCACCTGGTATTTTCATTATGATTAGATAATTATTTTGCATTTTACAGGTGTTTTTTTCATTTTTATTATGTGGTTTTGTCTGGATCTGTTCCCAGAGACTATTGCATAGATTTGTATGAAAATTTGTACACTTATTATTTACCATATGAAGATGTGCACCTGGTATTTTCAACGTTATTTGATAATTTTTCTGCATTTTACAGGTGTTTTTTTTTTTTTTTATTGACTTACAGGGTTCTCATTAACGCAAGAATCTGCGTCCTAGACGCAGCAAAATTACTTGGGACGCAAGGTTCTTAAAAACGATGCGTCCGCGGACTCATGATCGGACGCGTCCTCGTTAGCGAGAAAATTCGGGTGATTTCGAAAACGGGGAATTTAGATGTTAGGATTTGCCAAAGAAATATTTAATCGAAACCTTCCTGTAACTATCATAAAGTTTATCCAAGAAACAACTTTTCTTATACTTACTTCTCTTTTTTTAAAACAGGGATTGATCATAAGATATTTCATGTTTATTAGTCCATAGTCATAATAGTGTTGCATGCCAAACTCCGACAGCTGTAAACATACTGCAGTTTTTTTTTTAAAAACACTTTTGAATCTTGAGTGTTATCTACATGTAGAAACCATAATTACTGCTTGTATACACAATGCGGCTTGATTATCTCGTGAATTTCACCCAGTGCATACGACCGACAGGATTAGTTACGCTTCATTGCACATGACACCTGTGATTGTATACAGTCAACTTCTGGATACTAATTGATTATGCAACAGTTAATTTTAGCTTTATAAACACCAAGTTATATTTATGGCAATTGATTACGCGTGTATTTTAGAATATAGCTTGAATGCATTACCAGTTTATATACTTGAATATGTTTATACTGCGTAAACAAACTGATAAAATGATAAAGATAATTTTCATTGATGTTTGGATGGAAGGATACTGCAATAATTTAGTTGGGACTCAACATAATTTTTCTGGGACGCATCAAATTTAGCTGGGACGCAACCTTCTCAGAAACCTTGAGTCCTGGGACTCAAGTTAGAAAAATCCTAGTGAGAACCCTGGACTTAGTCATTTTGGGTTCATGTCTAAGGTTTGAGACATAGAATCTAGAACATCTGTACAAAAATGTGAACTACAGCTTAAAACTACTCATTAGAGCTAAAAAAAAAACACAAAGTATTAAAAACAGTTTTTACATTACACAGCAGATAGTGTAAATCCATTTGTCCCTTGGGAGTAATGAGTGGACATGCATCCAGTTAAAGATTAATTAATGAGTTCAGTGTGGGAAGCTGTTAGGGCATCTCTGATCAAGCAGGTCTTATCTATATCTCAGGGGAATTGGGCAGAAAGAAATAAAGATCTCTGTTGTATAAGTCTCTTAATTGTAATTTATGTCTGTCAAAATACATAGTTACTAAAACCAGCCTTTTATTTTTAAAATGAGTTTGATATAAAGGTATTAAAATCAATTTGATTTTCTATAATTAATTATGATATTTTTTTTCAACAATCAATTTGCTGTGTGTCATGTCTCACAAAGATGGCAGATAGTTGCAAACTATTTTTTCAATGTAATAAAAAACACTGTAATTATTAGTGTTGATGTTTTATTAGGCTGCACCTTAGTTTCATTCATTTAATAAAGTGCCCCACCACAGCATGATACGCCCATCAAATATTGTTAAATTATCATAAACAGTTTAGATTCAATTGTTTGAATGACATCTTAGCGAGACAAGGCAGTCTGCAATTTGTTGTAAAGATATAAAAATTCAAATAAAAAATGTACAATAAATAATTAGTTTAAATTATATTATACAATATCATATAAGTTTTAATTATTATATACAATATCAAATTAGTTTTAATTACATCAAATTTATCTTGAAAGTAAGACTAGCCAACAAGAACAATTCAATACAACAAAAGCAATTAATTAAGAGACTGATTCCTTTTGCCCATTTCCCAAGAGATGTAGATAACACCTGCTTGATCAGAGATGCACTGCCAGTTATCTCCTCACACTAAACTCATTAATTTCTCTCTAATTTGACATGCAATTTTCTGCTATCAAAATTTTCCTTGACCAGTGCCTGATCATTACACCCATGGGAGAGGTGGAATTTTTGTTGTTACAGATTGCTGTAAAGAACATAATGAAAAAAATAAGACTAGTATTTTCTTGATTTAACACTTTTTTAATAAAGATACTGCAATACTCTGACATCTTTTGGGATTGTGTAATTTAAAAGTTAAAAGACATAGTTTTTTGATTCTAAGTCTAATGGTTTTCTAGTTATGATTTTTCCATATTTGGCCATAGCGTCTTTATTAAAGGTCAGAACGACATGGTTTTAATGTGCGACACACCTTCTACCCTAGATGTATCAGCTGACAAAGTTTGATAATTCTAGGCATAATAGTATTAAAGTTATGAGCCGGACATGAAAAAGCTTACGGACGGACAAACATGAACGCTATAACATAATACGTCCCGTCGTAAGACGGACGTATAAAAATATATAATGAGTAATTAAATTTTCAATGTAAATGTTTAAGGAAATTGTGAACACCTCTCACATCTAGAAAACATTAGTGATTTGGTACTTTCTCTGAAAAACCCAGTGGGGGGTATTTGTCCCTTTTGGACAGTTCTAGTTGTATTTTATTTCTTAGAAGTATACTTTGCTTCCACAGTTTTTCATTTCCCGAATGATCGAGACACCATGAATAAATGAAATTGCATGAAAATTTATGTTTTCCTTGATTTTGAGACCTCTTAAAGTTATAATATTTAGGCAATTCAGGGTCTAGAGAACAATTTGTAGGTAGGAAGCAGTGAAATGAAATTGCATCAAAGCATGATCAGGTTCTGGAAAAGCTGCAATAAAATTCTTATTCGCCATGGGGGGATTACATCCTCAAGAGTCGGTCGCCCACAGACAAAATTACTAACATTTGGGTGATTGGCTATTTGCAACCCTGATTTACTGGATTATACTAAGTTTGCATCTTTAATTATCACATATAAGATGCAGATGTAAGTGTACTGTTGATTTTAAACCTATTTGATTCTGGCCACCAATTTCAATCTTTGAATAAGGCCCAACCCTAGCTCAAAGAGTCTTAATTTTAAAATAAATTTAATACAAGTCAGTGGGATGTATTTACGGTACTAAAACAGTGTAGAATAGAAAAACCCTTCTAATATTGAGAAGACAGTAAATGAATGATTACATTTCAGTTCTGCCAGTTACAGCAGACAGTCCTACAGCAGTGGTGAGGAATCGAGTGATTCTGAGTTAGTTGATCACGACTACAACAGTCAGCTTTTTACAAGCAAGAAAATTATTAATAAGGGAAGGTGGACAACTGAAGAGGTAATCCTGAAGTTGTTTTTTGATATTTTTAAAAATAAGAAATTAAAAAAAAAAGACATTGCAAAGAATGGTACACATATATTATGGTATTTATAGAGAGTATTACTGGTATATGCTAAAATCCGTGTCATATCAGTCCGAAGGCAGATATATGGGACCCTGTGGCTGATTTGACATATGGTTTTAAGCATGTAGTGTTCTAGTTATATATTTAAAATATTTAATATTATATGTGAGTTTATATATTTTGTTTTTGCTTTTCACATGAAAGAGTGTTTGGTGCATGTAATAATTAAAATTCATTCAACTTTTTTTTCATTAATAAAAATTAAAAGGAGCTACTTTTAGGTCATTATGAATCTTGTTATGTTAACAAATGTTAGGTACATGAAATGTATTTCTTGTATACTGTAAACCAATTTTTATTTGCGTGCGAGAAATATTCGCGAGTTTTGTGACCTACTTTATCTCACGGATATTAATCGCTGCGAACCATTTATTTTGCTTTGTATTTGTAGAGAATGTTTCCTCAGTCGAGAAAATTAGTTGTCTTGGATTGATTTCAAACTGATGAATCGCGAATAAAAGTTGACATGAATAATAGTTGGATTACGGTATTTCAGTAAAATGAAAATTTTTTGTTTTGATATACATTTTTGCATGCCGATCTGATATGTGATTGCACAACGTGTAATCAGTGTATTTATTACTAGGTATAATATAAAAGTTAATAAATTTAAGTCACAGATGTTGAACAAAGATCATGACATTCAAAACTCATAAGCATTATATACATGATAACATTAATCGAGCAAGTTTTTAATACTTGCATTTGACTAGTTTTACTAATTTTTCTGTAATCATGATGATACATGTATCAGAACATTATGACAAGTTAATAAAGAGAAACAAAAGAGGTTGCTTTTAACAAATATTATAAAGAGATTGCTTTTCACAATTATTGTAACTTTTTCCAACACTATAAGCATTATATTGCATACATGTGATAAGTCAAAGACCACAAAACTGTACAGGAGCCATAAAAAAAACTGGAATTTGGGTGAAAAAACTGTACACTGCCTATCAAAAAACGGTACAAAAAACGATGTAAAATATCGCATAAATTCTTCTGATAAGCACCTTATTTCTAAACCAACAAATATATATTGTTGCAAATGTCTTATTTTAAAAGTTGTAATGAGCTTTGAATGTTTTAAAATTTCATATATTGTGTTTTATAATCACAATGTTCTTGTGAATCGACTATAAATTAAGCTAGTTTAGATGATAGTTTGTTTGTCAGCTTTATATAGTATTAACGTGAGAGTCAATGTCACTAATTTACATCTTGTTCATATTACTGATATATACATCAGCAATGCTAAATAACAGCAGCAAATACAATCATACATAAATTTCAGCACATAAAAACTTAAAACTATATCCTTTATTTCATCGTAATCATGGTAATAAACATCGTATATTTTATACCTATGGAGATCTGGGTCAGATTCATGTATATTAAGTCATGTATATCAACTTTAGAAGTTGGCTTAATTTTTAGCTCACCTCGACGAAGTCGAGATGAGCTTATGCTATACCCCCGGCGTCGGCGTCGGCGTTAGCGTCGGCGTCCCGGTTAAAGTTTTAGGAGCAAGTCCCATTCCTAAGTTACTATAAGCCCTACCTGGACCAAACTTGCATGGATGATGCATCTAGAATGGACACTGCCACACTTGCTTCAGATGCTGGATCTAACCTAGATTTTCCAGATGAGTGACCAAGTTAAAATTTTTGGAGCAGGTCCATTCCCAAGGAACTATACGCCCCACCTGAACCAAACTTGTATGGATGATGCATCTAGGGATGGACACTACCACACTTGCTTCGGATGCTGGATCTGACCTAGATTTTCCAGATGAGTGACCAGGTTAAAGTTTTTGGAGCAGATCCATTCCCAAGTAACTATACGCCCTACCTGGACCAAACTTGCATGGATGATGCATCTAGGGATGGACACTACCACACTTGCTTCGGATGCTGGATCTGACCTAGATTTTCCAGATGAGTGACCAGGTTAAAGTTTTTGGAGCAGGTCCATTCCCAAGTAACTATGCGCCCTACCTGGACCAAACTTGCATGGATGATGCATCTAGGGATGAACACTACACACTTGCTTCGGATGCTGGATCTGACCTAGATTTTCCAGATGAGTGACCAGGTTAAAGTTTTTGGAGCAGATCCATTCCCAAGTAACTATACGCCCTACCTGGACCAAACTTGCATGGATGATGCATCTAGGGATGGACACTACCACACTTGCTTCGGATGCTGGATCTGACCTAGATTTTTCCAGATGAGTGACCAGGTTAAAGTTTTTGGAGCAGATCCATTCCCAAGTAACTATAAGCCCTACCTGGACCAAACTTGCATGGATGATGCATCTAGGGATGGACACTACCACACTTCCTTCGGATGCTGAATCTAACCTAGATTTTCCAGATGAGTGACCAGGTTAAAGTTTTTGGAGCAGATCCTTTCCCAAGTAACTATAAGCCCTACCTGAACCAAACTTGCATGGATGATGCATCTAGGGATGGACACTACCACACTTGCTTCGGATGCTGAATCTGACCTAGATTTTCCAGATGAGTGACCAGGTTAAAGTTTTTGGAGCAGGTCCATTCCCAAGTAACTATACGCCCTACCTGGAGCAAACTTGCATGGATGATGCATCTAGGGATGAACACTACACACTTGCTTCGGATGCTGAATCTGACCTAGATTTTCCAGATGAGTGACCAGGTTAAAGTTTTTTGAGCAGGTCTATTTCCAAGTAATTATAAGTCCTTCTTAAACCAAACTTGTATAGATATTGATCTTGGGATGTACACTAACTAGAAAAAATATGATGTGAGATTTGCCTTACTTATAGATAACCTTCGTCGAGGTGAGCTTCGTAATCTTTGATTACCTATGTTTTTAGCTCACCTGAGCCAAAGGCTCAAGTGAGCTTTTCTGATCAAAATTTGTCCGTTGTCTGTCGTCGGCGGCGGCGTCGGCGTCGTTGTTGTCGTAAACTTTTCACATTTTCATCTTCTTCTCAAGAACCACTGGGCCAATTTCAACCAAACTTGCCACAAAGTATCCTTGGGTGAAGGGGATTCAGGTTTGTTCAAATGAAGGGCCATGCCCTCTTTCAAGGGGAGATAATAAAGAATTTGTGAAAAATTAATAGCATTTTTTAAAAATCTTCTTGTCAAGAACGACAGAGCCAGGGAAGATGAAACTCATGTGGAAGCATTCTCAGGTAGTGTAGATTCAAGTTTGTTCAAATCATGACCCCCGGGGGTAGGGCGGGGCCACAATGGAGGATCAAAGTTTTACATAGAAATATATAGGAAAAACCTTTAAAAATCTTCTTCTCAAGAACAGCAAAGCCATGATGAGTCATATTTATATGGAAGCATGCTCAGGTAGTGTAGATTCAAGTTTGTTCAAATCATGACCCCCGGGGGTAGGGCGGGGCCACAATGGAGGATCAAAGTTTTACATAGAAATATATAGGAAAAATCTTTCAAAATCTTCTTCTCAAGAACAGCAAAGCCCTAATTGGTCATATTTATATGAACATCCTCAGGTAGTGTAGATTCAAGTTTGTTCAAATCATGACCCCCGGGGGTAGGGCGGGGCCACAATGGAGGATCAAAGTTTTACTTAGAAATATATAGGAAAAACCTTTAAAAATCTTCTTCTCAAGAACAGCAAAGCCATGATGAATCATATTTATATGGAAGCATCCTCAAGTAGTGAAGATTCAAGTTTGTTCAAATCATGACCCCCGAGGGTAGGGTGGGGCCACAATGGAGGATCAAAGTTTTACATAGAAATATATAGGAAAAATCTTTAAAAAATCTTCTTCTCAAGAACAGCAAAGCCTTGATTGGTCATATTTATATGGAAGCATCCTCAGGTAGTAAAAATTCAAATTTGTTCAAATCATGACCCCTGGGGGTAGGGCGGGGCCACAATGGAGGATAAAAGTTTTACATAGAAATATATAGGAAAAATTTTAAAAAATCTTCTTCTCAAGAACAGCAAAGCCCTGATTGATCATATTTATGTGGAAGTATCCTCAGGTAGTGTAAATTCAAGATTGTTCAAATCATGACCCCTGGGGTAGGGTGGGGCCACAATGGAGGATCAAAGTCTTAAATAGAAATATATAGGAAAATATCTTCTGATGAAGAACTGCAAAGCCATGATTAGTCATTTTGATATGGAAGCATCCTCAGGTAGTGTAGATTCAAGTTTGTTAAAATGATGACCCCCGGGGACAGGGATGGGCCACAATGGGGGGTCGAAAATTTTACATAGGAACAAAACAGGAAAATATCCTCTTCTCAAGAACTGAAAATCATGTTTAGTCATTTTGATATGGAAGCATCCTCATATAGTGTAAATTCAAATGATGACCCCTGGGGTAGGGTGGGGCCACAATGGAGGATCAAAGTCTTAAATAGAAATATATAGGAAAATATCTTCTGATGAAGAACTGCAAAGCCATGATTAGTCATTTTGATATGGAAGCATCCTCAGGTAGTGTAGATTCAAGTTTGTTAAAATGATGACCCCCGGGGACAGGGATGGGCCACAATGGGGGGTCGAAAATTTTACATAGGAACAAAACAGGAAAATATCCTCTTCTCAAGAACTGAAAATCATGTTTAGTCATTTTGATATGGAAGCATCCTCATATAGTGTAAATTCAAATTCGTTCAAATGATGACCCCTGGGGTAGGGTGGGGCCCAATGGGGGATCGAAAGTTTTACATAAGAACATGCAGAAAAAATATTTCTTCTCAAGAACAGAAAAGCTATGTTCAGTCATATTGATATGGAAGCATCCTCAGGTAGTGTAGATTCAAGTTTGTTCAAATATTGACCTCTGGGATAAGGAGGAGCCACAATGGGGGATCCAATTTTTTCAAAATTTACTCAAGTACAACAAAGCCATTTGTTATATTGACATGGAAGCATCATCAGGTATCCCCCCCCCCCCCCCCCCCCCCCCCCCCGGTAACCTTTTCAATACTGAACTGATTTGTGCTTTTGCCTAGCCAATGTGCTCAGGTGAGCGATGTGGCCCATGGGCCTCTTGTTCAATCAAGTTACGAAACATAAACAGTTATAATTAAGTACCCCTTTAAAAATAAAGCTACCTAAAGGGGTATCTTGATACGGATTTATAGCAAGATAATTATCCCAATTGGCAGTTCACACCTTCACACGCGATGGTTTGTGTACACTACACAATTATCAGAATGTCAAGTGTCAAACACAGGTGACGTTTTCCAGTGTGTCGGGAGCGAGAATGAGAGGAAAATGGTGGCATTTAGCGAGAAATTCAAAATACTGTACAAATTTTCATATTCCATGAATTTTGGTGTCCCGCCGGTACACGATGAATGGGCTCGAAAAAACGGCACATTTTGCGTACCGCCGGTACATATCATATGTATGATATTGTTATACATTGTACATGAATGTTTTATCAATGAAGTTAGCATGATGATCAAATAATTTAAAATAAACTTAACATTTAAAGTTTATTGCTTGATTTTAGGACGAAAAGTTACGAAGCCTTGTAGATGTCAAGGGTGACTCAGACTGGAAGCAAATAGCCAGCTATTATCCTGATAGATCAGACATCCAGTGCCAACATAGATGGTGTAAAGTGATCAACCCTAATCTTGTCAAAGGAGCCTGGACTAAAGAAGTAAGCACACAAACCATAAAGGGCTTATAAGTACCTTATTTCCTTTTAGCTCAAGCAGAAGACATCCATTTTTAGTGAAATTTTCTCTCAGATAATGAAGACCTCATGCATCACCCACAAAGATTTTGAGAAGTGTGATTCTTCAAAGAATTTTACACAACATATCCAAATACTGAAGTGGGTAACGTTTGTGGACACTATATTCTCATGGAAAATGACCCCTGAAATTAGTCATTTTGAGGCTTTTTCTTTCTTTACATCATTTGTACATTAATTGAGATCTCAAAATAATGAGGTTTCAGATGGTTACCTAAAAATTTATCTTTACATTCTAAATTTGCAGGAGGATGAAAAAGTAATTCAGCTGGTCAGAGAAATTGGAGCAAAGCATTGGACCCAAATCTCCAAGCAGCTTCAAGGCAGAACTGGGAAACAGTGCAGGGAAAGGTAGGCAGCTAACAATATTTTAAAGATTTCAAATAGGCTTTTTTTCAGTGAGATGAGTTGTGAGTGCAGAATATGGAAGAATGACTATAAAATACAGCACATCCTGCATGTTAAAACTTATTTGTTGAATTCATCTTGTAGGTGGCATAATCACTTAAATCCAGAAATAAAGAAATCAGCCTGGACCCGAGAAGAAGACGTACTGATTTACCGACTTCACGGGGCCCTGGGCAACAGATGGGCAGAAATAGCCAAGTATTTACCTGGGAGGTAAACTTACAGCTGTTCTTTGTCACACTTTTGATAACTGCACAGAACCTTGCAGAAACTATTTAATGAATATTACAGAATTGCTCTTTTTTAGGCTTTGTCTAATGATTTTACTGCTTATTGATATATTAAAAATTCGTCCTTGTTGGAGATTTATAAGGTCAAATTACATTTAATGGGAAATCATTTTCTTGTTATTAATTTCGAGTTGTGGAATCCTCCTTCAAGGAAAATGTTATTGCAGTATGTAAATATTTTGCCTGAAGTGATTTTTAGGCTTTTTTGTGTCACTGACTTCCAGTACACTAATTCTATAACATCAGGTTCTTTTATCCAATGTAATTAAAAAGTGTTAGTACTAAGCACCTCAAATACATGTATATGTTAAGATCTATTCAGTAAAAGGGAAATGTGAAAAATGTATAAAGTCTCTCTCTCTCTCTCTCTCTCTCTCTCTGAAGGAATTTGTTATGAGAATTAGGTAATTTAAGGGATTTATTTAAAAAAAAAAAGAGGAAAAAGTACCCATTTCATCCCCTTGGCAGTGGCCTTTGCACCTGTGTGTCACCTTGTTACCTTTAATGCCCGAGTGTTCTTGAAGATTTTCTTTCATCTGATGTATTTAAAATGTAGACACTTGTCTCTGAGATGGCACTTAGATGTAACAAAGAGTTAAGCATCTTGGCTATTAATAGAAAATTATGGCTTTGATCCTCAGGTTGTTTGACATATTTCTATAGCAGGGTAATTTTGGGATTGACATTTTATAGAAATGTCAGAGTTGACTAGACCAAACAATTGTCTTTATTTTTCTTATTTTATGCCACCAGACAGCATTTTTTTTTAAAGGAATTCATTTATTTTTAGGACCTGCTTCAGAAATATATATGTTAAATAGTATTCAGTGTGTCTGTACAATTGACTTTACTGTTTATGTAACTTGCAGACTTCATATTAAACACTTTTTATGGGAAATGAAGTTAAAGGGATACCCTAAAAGATCTTGATCAAAGATTTAGATCCATCTAACAAAAGATGTTGTGATGTAATAACCTTAATTTTTTTTTCCAAAATATGAAAAATAAATCAATGGTTTTTTATCTTACCTCATTTATCTCTTTATGAATTGAGTGAGTAATGCCGTATATTGAGTTTAACAAATTGTTACACACTAGGAAGCATCTGTATCTCTGCCTTGAGTTTTAACAAGGTGTATCCAAACCAAACTTGTACAAATTGGGCCTAAAACAAAATGTTGTTTGCAGGCCTTTCAAAATCTGCCCGTACCCAGTACATTTACTCAGCTGAAATTTTGATTGTACCAGCCAAAATATTCATTGGAAAAAAATTTGGTAACACGTTAAATCAAAATCACTTCTACAAGGTACCTCCTTTTTTTTTTGTAAAAGTACCTCCTGTTTCTAATCTTTTTGAAAGCCCTGGTTGTTTGTTTGCAGTTTCCTACTGATCCAATTAAAATGCCCTACTCAATATTTTTTTTTTTGGGGGGGGGGGCATCTATGGAGATTATTTTTTTTTTAATATCCAAATTTTTCAATTAGGTTAAGTGACACATGCAGGTACATAAATTTTTGGTTTACCCTAATTATACCCCCTGCAAACGAAGTTTAGGGGGGGTATATTGGAATCACCATGTCCGTCTGTCTGTAGACGAGATTTTGTCCAGAGCGTTTCTCGGAAACTATTGCATAGATTTGTCTGAAAATTTGTACACTGATTATTCACCATATGAAGGTGTGCACCTGGTATTTTCATCATGATTGAATAATTTTTCTGCATTTTACAGGTGTTTTTTCATTTTTATTATATGGTTTTGTCCTGACCTTTTCTCAAAGACTATTTCATAGAATTGTATGAAAATTTGTACACTCATTATTTACCATATGAAGATGTGCACCTGGTATTTTCAACATTATTTGATAATTTTTCTGCATTTTACAGTTTTTTTTTTCATTTTTATTGACTTAGTCATTTTGGGTTTATTTCTAAGGTTTGAGACATAGAATCTAGAACATATCTGTGCAAAAATGTGAACCACAGCTTAAAACTATTCATTAAAACAAAAACAAAAAATCACCAAGTATTAAAAAACAATTTTTACATTACACAGCAGATAGTGTAAATCCATTTGTCCCTTGGGAGTAATAAGTGGACATCATCCAGTTAAAGATAAATTAATGAGTTCAGTGTTGGAAGTTGTTAGGGCATCTCTGATCAAGCAGGTGTTATCTATATCTCCTGGGAATTTAAAGATCTCTGTTCTTTAATTCTCTTAATTGTAATTGCAGCCCGGAGGACCGGGCTGCTCTATACATATAAGTTTAAGTGTTGGTATATGGGGATTGAGGTGGGAGAAGTTATTCAGAATTAAAGGTTTTCTAAACAGTAAAAAGATTGTTAATCAGAATGTTCTTTCCCTTTATAAATTACGAGATACACAATATATTTACTTCCATAAAGTGAATCTGTAAAAATATATATGTTTTTCATATTTAATATATAAAGTTGCTTATCATTTACTATCGAAAAAACGACAGGTCCCTTTTTTTAGAACATCGAATTTTACTTATCGCATAAAAACGTAAAAACATACTTTACACAGTTCATGTTTTATATTCTTAAAGTGATAGACATTTTTGAAAATAGGTGATGCATGTGTCTGGTTTCAATTTATATTTTATGCAGCCAACATTTACTTGAGGAATTGATAAAGTTTAAAAGGGTATCATTTTTGTTCGATTTTCATCCGACTATAGGTTTTCAAAATATTCTCGACTATCGTCTCCATCATTTAGACGCATGCCTTTTTCACACATATCGAAGCGGTTTGATGATCAAGACTCGTTTCCATTGTTCCCGGGCGACAATTGATGGTTACATCAATGTTTTCTTGTTTATTGTCTGTCATAGTACATAGTTACTGGAAGACCAGCCTTTTATTTTTAAAATGAATTTGATATAAACTTTTGAAGATTAATTTGATTTTGTAATTAATTGATTTTTTTTCAACAACCAATTTGCAGAGTGCCATGTCTCTAAAAGATGACAGATAGAACTTTGCAATTTATTTTTTCAATGTATTAAAAAAACAAACAATGTAATTACAATGTATTGGTATTGATGTTTTATTAGGTTGTTCCTTGGTTTCATTCATGAAAAAAATATAATGAGCAATTATTTTTTCACTCTAAATGTTTATAAGGAAATTGTGAACACCTCTTAGATCCATAAAATGTTAGTGATTTGGCACCTCTGAAAAATCCTAGCGGGGGGTATTTGTCCCTTTTGGACAGTTCTAGTTAATATTTAATGTAGTACAAAATAAATTTGCTTTCTATTTAAAAAACAAAAATGATGAAGAGATTAATTTTTTTCCTAGGACTGATAATGCAATAAAGAATCATTGGAATTCTACAATGAAGAGAAAGTATGAGGAACGTATCCCACCACCTGACTTTACATATACACCAGCAATCCTTACTGGTCAGCCTTGCACTCCAAGTAATTCCGCCGTCCCTTCACTTCAGCCCATCCAGCTATTCCCGAATGCCCACATCAGCCAAGATTCTGTAAATACTTTTATTACAGGGTAAGTTTGTGCACTAGGAAATGATTGTTTAGTGAGACAGATCAATTTTAGGAAGGAAGTCAGCTAACAAAGGATCACAAAGCTTTAGATACATTCGAGTTTCATTAATCTGGACTTGTGCAGACTTGTCGAAATTTTGAATTCACTGTCAGACATTTGGTCTGACAAAGTCAAATGTTCTGCTGGACCGGACGAAGTTTTGTCAAACCAGATATACGTACTTTATTTTGACGCTGAGAAAGTAAAATAAAAACTGCACTAAAATGCCGTTTATTATTTTCAACAGCCTTCAATCTCACAAGTTTCTTTTCTTAGAATAGAGAATCTTTAATCAGAGACATAAATGGCACGTTTTATGTCTTTGCTGTAACAAATTTAATCGACCATCGTCACCACATGGCCATTTCTGCTGTTTCTGTGACTTTCACCTGCGCACCACAAACCCGATCTTTTTAAAATTTGCTTCACTCGAGATTTTTTTCAAACGGTCATTTGGACCGACATTTTCTTGAGAGTTATCGGTCCAGACAAATTTTTACCGGCCTTGCCGACAGGACCGACGGATTTTGACAAGTCTGCTTGTGTGTTCCCAAGTAAATCATCTGGATTAATGAAGCATTTTGAGAACTAAATCATACCTTTTATAATTAGTAAATATAAATGTAGATTCTGTTCCCCATAAAATTTGTCTGGAACTCTGAAGGTGAAATGTCCAGATCATTGGCATTTGGATTACTGAGGCTTGGCTGATATGTTTAAATCCTGAAGTTTCTGAAAATAATGAAGTTACTAATTATAACTTTTAACTTAAATGTACATGTATTTCATTCTTAACAGTCCAGATGGTTGTCAGAAGGTGAATGTGTTGAACATTGTGCCAGTTGGAAAAAATGGAGGCAGCAAAAAGACACCATCAAAGTTCACTTCACTATATTCTAAAGGTTTGATGTTTAAAGGACCTCTACTAATGCATTGATGTAGTGGTATCTATTGAGAATCCATCACATATCTAGTTCATTGTAGGAAAACAGCTTTGTTATTTGAAGCTTGCCATAACAATTAAGTGTGTATATACATGTACACGTATATTTTTCTGAAGTCTTATGAGCATACACCATAGAATTATTATGGAGCAGATGCTTTCTGTATTACAGTACTGCATAATTGTTTGGCAATAGTTAATCCTTAATAGATTTTTAGATTTGAATAATGAACTTTTATTTCATTGCATCTATTATCAAGTATAATGATATGCTCAGAGAACTTGCAATAGTTTATTGTGATTTAAAGAGTACAGATTTGATGGGAAAGCTATAAAGAAACTGAAGAGTCCAGGACGGCTGATTCCTATCCCCTCGCCAGTGACATCAAAGTTTTCAGCTTTACCCTCAATCTTAAGACGGGGGAAGACCAGAAGGAAAAATGTTGCCAAGATGGTAGGTTTTCTTAAAAATTTTACAAATGGTAATTATTACCGATATATTTGATCTTTGATTTGTGCCCAAACCACATTTCATCAAAGAAACTGAACAAAGATGTAATAATCTAATTGCGATTTACAGAGGACTTGCATTTTAGAACTTTCTTACATGTATATCAAAACTTCCATAAGTATTGTCAAAATGCCAGGGAATTTTTCAATCCAGACTTAATTAATGTTTTATTCAAAAGGTCAAAGAAGCCAACATATTAGGTTCTGAAATAAAATTAAGACAAAAAAGGAACAAGAAAAAATATTGTTCTATGAACTACATATGTTGTGTGCACTGTTCCATGCATGAAATGTGTGCATAGATAATCCATTTATTCAAATATTTAGCAATGCATAAAAGCTTATCTATTGGTCCATTTTTGACAGTTCTAGTTAAAATTGTGGACCTCTGGACATGTTGGCCATCAGAGTTTTACATGGGAATACAAAGGAAATATTATTTCAAAGTCCTCTTTTTTCTTGCAAGAGGTGCCTAACCCTGCAGAAAATAAGACTGTGGACCACAAAGATTATGATGGGAGATTAAAAATTTCGTATGATACAAATGCATTTTAATTTCAATTACAAGAGTGATCAGTGAGTGAATGCTGAGAGTAAGCTGAGGAACTGGATAGCAATCAATGAATGAACAATGAGTGCTGAAAGAGAGTAGTGAAGGAACAATATATGAACCAAATAAGATGATAGTAGAACATATAGAACAGCTGTGGATAAGAATAGGTAGCTCCGATTTTATAAAAAGAATGGCAGTGTCCATGTTTTGCAATGGAAAACTCAAATATGTGTCCAATTAAAAACAAAAATGGGAGGTGTGAAATCACATGACAATGGTAATTTGAAATAAAGATTCTGTGAAAATGGTGAACATTTTATTCAGTGGTAAAGGAGGAGTTGCCGATAGAGATGGGTACCCCCGATATTATAGAAAGAATGGCAGTGTCTATGTTTTGCAGTGGGAAACCCGAAATATATGTATGTCAGATCAAAAAGTAAAATAAGAGGTGCACAATGGCACTATGTAACAAAAACTCTGTGAAAGTCTCATTAAATTTTACTCAGTGGTATAAGCGGTGTTGCAAATAAAAGATAGGTACCTCAAAGCATAACGGGGTATAATGATTATAGCATGAACATGTTTAAAAAAATAAAATGACTCTGAGCTCAAAGATCAATGTACTGAATGCAGTATTTTTGGTACTGATTGCAGGTGGCACTGATGAATATACAGTCAGATAATGGTCCATACAGGGTTACTAGGTGGATTATTACTAAGGCCATGGTCATAGATCATTATGATACAAAGCATATCATCATTTGATGATTCATTTACTGTGCATGTCTAAAAATGATTAAATTAAAAGGCAAAAGAAATACATCTGTATTAGGGCTCAGAAACCTCATTAGAAAACAAATGTATGAAAAGAGTAGGAATTCATTGTAAAACAATAAATTGTCTTCCTTGAAGGAGAGTTCAAATCAAGGAATTCTTTAATACAACTTTAGTATATAGCAGGAATAGAATATATGTTTTCCTTATGAGGTTTTAATTACAGGTAAATTACATGATAGAGAGTTTAGTGAGTTATGGTATATTTTCCCTGAGAATTACCCTTTTTATAGTGGAATTAACTGTCTTGATTTTATCTTCTATCTGTCAAACTGGTGGATAATTGATGACAAATCCATATCTTATTTCTAAAGAGAAGGAAGTGGCATTCAAAAATTCAAATCCTCATAGTATAACTATGAGAAGGCATTATTAAAATCAGACTTTTTTTCTGGATGGGGAGATTTAGATTTTCTTTAAGGTCATATGTAAAGTACCTTAGCTATTTGGTAATTTTTCAAGGTATTCTTTATTTAATTCATAGTACTCTTAGACAAAAAAAATCTTCATAGTCTCTTAAACAAGAGACTTCAAGAAAGCATGATACACATCTTTTGATCGCCTTTCTTCTTATTACCGTATATACTCACCTATAAGTCGGTCCGCCTATAAGTCGTTTTTGTATTTTTTGGGGTTATTTTATAGGTTATTTTATAGGGATTTGCCATTGACCCGCTTATAAGTCAGTACAACTTTCTGTTAGAATCAGATGACAATTTCAAACCAATGCTCTGATGTTTTAACCTGGTTTCAGTTAAAATTCTTAGAAATGACACCGATATTTAATTTTAAATCAGTAAGAAAAATACATAATGCACACTTTAAATAAAAATAAAGGTATTAAAATATGTAAATACTTGTACTTTATGTATAATCTTAGAATGCATAAATGATATGATATATCCATTCTACATTTCGATGTCCAGATAATACTAATCTTTTTATGACTAGCCTATAAGTCGGACCTAGAGTTTTGGACCAAAATTTAACTCCCAAAAAACCGACTTATAGGCAAGTATATACGGTAAATATGGAGAATTTTATGTGTGCATTGATGACACAAAATTATTTATCTTGGTTACTGTATCCCCCCCCCCCCTCCTTCAGCTAACCCTCCCAGGGCAAGAAATAATTTTTTCTCTGGTCATTCAGGCTATTAACTTTAATTTTTACTGGTCATTGACAACTTTCACTGTCCCATTTGACTAGTGTATGAAAAAGACCAATGCTTAAAAATAGCATTTTTTTTTCTTCTGATTTTAATAACCAACAGTTTAAAAAATTGTATATCTTCTCAAGAACCACAATTAAAGCCATTAATTTGCAAACATTTCCAAGTTGTGTGTATTCAATATTTTTTTTTAAATTATGGATCTCGAGTAGAGTTGGCTAAAATCAGGATAGAATTTTACATTATGCATGCATACAGATAAAAGAATTTTCTTCATAACTGCAAGGTCATGTTAGTCGTATTGATTCATAATCCCCATGTTGTGTTGATTTTGAGACCCCTTAGGGTTAGAGTGGGACCATAGAATAGGGTCACAATTTTTCATTGGAATATAAAAAATCTTTTGAAAATCTGAAGAAAATGAACAGCTGGCTCAAGTTACTCAGGTAAGGGTTGTGGGCCTTTTGTCATACTAGTAGTACGTTGGTGACACAGCATTACAGTGATTACGAATACTGTCAACATACTTTTTTCCATGGGGTCATAATTCCGTGGAATCACAATTTCTGTTCAAAATGCAGGTGGAAAATTATGTGGATTTCTCAGATTACCATTGTATGTCTTAAATGCACTTTAGCAAGTCAAGGAAACTATTTTCTGTGACATCAGAATAAATTTACATGCTAAATGAGGCACCCAAGATGACTGGCAAACTGACCAATCAGCTAAATGAGTTGCATTATGGGTTACTACAAAACTACTACATGTACGTTTTGAAAAGGCCAGTTTTTGAAATTGCTCTCGGAAAGACATGATGCATTTTTGCAAGCGTTTTACACAATATAATATGTACATCATTATCTAATAGTTCCATGCTCGCATTTACATACAAATGTTCAAAACGGTAAAATTTGGGTTTTCTCCACTCCATTGTATAAGTCCGTTTGTTGACAATAGCCTGGCAGTTTTTCCCGTGCTATACTATCAGTCAGTATGAATTTCACGTGACTATTCCCTGGTCCAAAACAAACCGACTCTGAGGTGTACTCATGTATTGTCATTGTTTACTATGTATACAACATATGCTACTTAATACATGTTCTATGATCAATGTACATGAAGAAATACTGTACAGCAATAGACCTATGTTTTTTTATAACTGCATTAACCTTTAATTTCTAGTAAACAAATAACAAAGTAACAACGAATAACACCAGTAACATGGCAAGTTAACCAACATACTGTGAATGAATTTTGGCATGCATAAAATAATCACTGGTTCCAGGGGCATGTGCTCTCTACAAAGCATTAGCACAATGCACAAGCCCATCAATTATTCCATGTCCTGTCCTCCAATCTTTTCCATTGATTTTAAAAATATTTTTGTTTGTTTTCTTTGTTTTAGAGCAAGGTGTTAAAAAAGAGAAACATAATAAACATAACAAAAAGACATTACCTGCAATCAGCTGACCTAGATACTGCCATCAGAGATGAAAGTGAGGCTAGTGACACAGAAAATACTGACCCAGTTAGTCTCCCCTTCAAGGCCTACAAGGAGGGGCCGTTAAATCAAATAGAACTTGGAGTTATTTTGAAAGAGATAAACCCAGAGAGTTTAGATGATGTACCTGAAAAAGGAAGTGATTCTGTGTCGGAACTAGAGTCTGTGACTCCCAATGGAACACCAATCAAGAGTCTGCCATTTTCTCCTTCAGTGGTACGTTTTATGTTAGTGTATTATTATCCCCCTCACAACAAAGTTGGAGGGGATATAGTAACGGGCTTGAGTGTGTGGATGAGTATGTGATGCAAGTAATAATTTATATCAGAATTGATGTGCTCTTTTGTGAGAGGATGCTCAACTTTGTGGTGCCCTTGTTCAATCCTGTAATTACCTACAACTGTTTTAAGTATTTTAAATGCTTTATTGGGAAGTAAGTTGTTGACTTACATGTATTCACTTGTATTTTAACAGTTCAGTTTCAAAAAACAGGGCTCTCACACCCTTTCTTGGTACTGGGGCCGGGGCCAATGGAATTGGGAAAAAAGCATTGTTTTTATAAAAATTGGGAAATTTTTACCAATCATAATTTTAACTCTTTAAACAAGAAAAATAAAATAAACACAGAATAATCAGAGAAACTGAAAACAAATCATCTTATTTATTCAAGGTAGATCTTAATTAGACATGTTATTGACTGTTCAGATGTTTAGAACTTTAAAATAAAATGTTTGTCTTTAGATGTCCTGAAATGCTCTAGGGCAGGGTTTCAGTAACCACTAACTCAGAATGAGATTCTGTTAATTGTAGAGCGGCAGCCTGTTGTTTAAACAAAGTGTCTATTTTCTTACATTTGTTAGTTGTCTTCGTAGAAATCTTTTTTCTATAGTATTCACATTATGCGACATGTTTTTGAATAAACAAGTCGTACCTAAGAGAATTGTAATTTACTATAGTTGACTTTCGCTTTCATATTGAACTGGTTCGAGCATATACGAACTACCAGTTTACAACACGGAAGTGTTTCCTTCATATCTTCACAGTGCTTTTACGACTTGTCAAAAATATGCTTTCTATTTTCTTTTTACAGTAATAAATTTTAAGCAATCATACATAGGGAATTTTTACACTCAAATTTGGGAAAAATGGTGCCTTTTTCACCTTGGGAACGGGGCCGAATATCGGCCCCAATTAAAGAGAATCAAGAGCCCTGAAAAAAGATGAAAAGTTTCAGAAATAGTTTATGTTCATTTGAAAGAGTATGTTGCCACATGTAACTTTGATTCTTGTCTGAAATGAGTCTTACCTCGGATTGTTAGATTATGAAGTAAAGTTACACTCACAGATTACATTTAAATGAACCTGTATTGCAGTTCCTTAACAGTCCTGGGATCCCTATTGGTAGAGTGACTTCAACTCCAGTGTGCACTCAGAGAGAGGCAGCCACGCCCACTTGCCCACTGCAGAGCAGTGCAGCCAAAACTATGCAACCCAAGTACGTTATAACCGTTGTGGTTGTAAATAGACATATCTATTTGTTAGAATGCCAACATGATTTTGCAAAGTAAAAGAATCTTAGGCATACAATATTGGTAAATGTCTATTACAGTTCTGTTACAGTGTTTGACATTGGTTAATGTCTGTTACAGATCTGTTACAGTGTTTGACATTGGTTAATGTCTATTACAGTTGACATTGGTAAATGTCTATTACAGCTCTATTACAGTGTTTGACATTGGTTAATGTCTGTTACAGATCTGTTACAGTGTTTGACATTGGTTAATGTCTATTACAGCTCTGTTACAGTGTTTGACATTGGGTAATGTATATTACAGATCCATCCACTGTACTCCGCGGATCAGGAGGACCTTGCTGAATGCCACCCCCAGGACTCCCACTCCTTTTAAGGATGCTGTGGCTGACAAGAAGAATAAAATGAATGATATGGTAAACTGACATAACTATTATAATACAAAATGTGTCATGGTAATCTATTTAAAACAGTAATTTTAAGGACCCTGCAAGGATTTACAGGTACCCTATAATAATCACTTTGTCTCTGTGTTTCCATGTGTCTGTCATATTCTGTCAATCCTCAATTTTTCTGTGTTTTGGCTCACTGAGCTGTAAGCTTAAATGACTATTTCATGTCATCTGTCTGTTGTCTTGCCTGTCTGTCTGTTCATCTGTTTAAGCATCCATCTGAAAACATTTCGCATTGTCAACTTCTTTAGAACCACTGGGCCAATTTAAACTAAACTTGCCACGAAGCATCCATGGATGAAGAAGAAATACAGAGCCACACCCCCTTCCTAGGGTTTATAATTAAGAAATAGGAAAAATTTGGTGGCATCTTTAAAAACTTTCAAAGACAAAATTTAAGTGAAAGCTTTTTCATAAAGTGTAGATGCAAGTAAGACTAGACTCCGTGATAACATCATCTGTGAAATTTCATTGAGATTGTCCAAGCCAACAGCAAGAACAACTCGGAGACAAAATTAAAGGTGGAACAATAACAATATGTTGCCCTGATTTTATTCAGGGTGACATTACCATTCAAAGGTGTTTAATTTCCATTAAAATTGCAAGTGTGGATACTTCGAGATGAGGTCCCTGCTTTGATGTACACTCACAGGGGGTATCAGTTGAATCAACTAGAATTTTTCTTGATTTACAAAATTTTTTCTCCAATATTTATGATTTTGTTAATATGTCCCTTTCATCTAAGGCTTTAACACTGTCTTTTTGGGATATTCAATGTTTTCCTTATTGCTTGCATGAGTTTTGAGAAAACACATTTGTGTATTTTTTTTGAGATATTTACCTGTATTTACAGCCAGAAGAGGTCGATGGGAAGGATGATAACAGATTGACATTTACCCCAGACAACACTCAGGTGACGAGGGGTAAACAAATACCTGTTAAAAAGGTAAATCAGTATTTCTTCATTTGAATTCTAAAGGGCAAATGAACTTATATTTTATAAATTCTGACTCTTTCAAATAAAACCATATAGATTTATACTTTTTAGCGAAATATGATACAGGTGACTCTCGATACTTTGAAGTTCGCGTACCATAAAAAAACTTCTCATAATCAAGAGTTTGATGTTTTAAGAATGCAGAATATCTGGGTTACTTGGTTGGTTTAAAAATAAGTCACACTTGAAGTAATTTATTCTCATTTACAACAGTGTTAAAATAATACACATGTACAGAGGAGCCTCATTTATCCAGACGCTTTGGTTCCCAGTCAAAATTGTCTAGATAGGTGAAGTGTCCGGATATCTGAATTGCCTTTCATTCCATTGGCAATAATGAAGAATGCTGCATAATATACGTAAATATGTATTTTTGTTTAAATTAAAGCTCAGGAGTCAGTGCTATAAATAGCAATACATAAAACCAATGTTACTACTGTATTCTTACTAAGTATGTCAAGCTGCATACACAAAATCCTTTGGAGGTACCGAGAGTTAAATACAACATAATATGCATAAGGGGACTTCATTTTGACTTTGAGAGATCAAAAGATTGAGAGTTTGTGAAATCAAGAGTAAATCTGCTTAGTTACATATATAGGAGAAAAAAGTCAGGATTGGAGACTCATTTAGAGGGATCAAGAACTTAGAAACATCCAGATTCAAGCCATCAAGAGTCACCTGTAATTGTTAGCCCACCTGCGCTGAAGGCTCAAGTGAGCTTTTATGATCCAATGGGTCCAGAGTCTGTCTTTCATGTATCATCTGTAAACTTTGCACATGTTTATTTGCTTCCTCTCAAGAACCACTGAGCCAATTCAACCAATTTACTCTCATCATTTACTTGTTTATACCCAGATGTGTTGAATTTAAATAATTTCAAAATTGCATGAAATGATACAATTTCATGTAGTTTAATAGTTTAACAGTTTAAAATTGCAAATTATTTCATTTTCCGGTATTTTGAAAAAAAATGTTTTCATGTGTGTAATTTGTAGTAAACTGAAGCCCATCCTCATTATATACAACCTTAACAGTGCTGCATATGACTTTGCAGCTGTACAGTTCACATTGTTATAATGATACTCGATGCATGTATTTGTACTGAATCTGTAATTTGCAATGTAGACACAGCCAAAGCGTAAGATGAGAAAATGTCTGGCGACTAGATGGCTGTCACCAAGAAGAAATGTAGGCTTTCCAGAAGAAAAACCAATGGTTTTATCTCCCGAAACACCAGTAAGGAAATGGTCAAATGCTTATTCTTAAGTTGATTATGTTTGTTGGTGTCTAAAGATAGTCAATATGAATACTAGTAGAGTACATTCTTCTCCACCTTTATTATATGTTAAATACATTTTAAAACTTTCCAGAGTAAATCATTGCTGAATGATGCCAGTGTGCTGTTCTCTCCTCCCTCCATCATCAAGGAAACTTTACCAGAGGAAATCCTGGAGGAAACAAAACCTCCCAAGGAGAAGGCAACAAATAAGGTACAGTATATGGAAGATCTACATGTATCAGTTTATCTACATGTACATGTATCAGTTATGTCTACAAGTATCGGTTTATCTACATGTATCAGTTTATTTACATGTTTCAGTTTGTCTAAAGGTATCAGTTTATCTACATGTATCAGTTTATCTACTTGTGTCAGTTTATTTACACATATCAGTTTATCTACACGTATCGGTTTATTTACACATATCAGTTTATCTACAAGTATCAGTTTATCTATAAGTATCTGTTTATCTACACGTATCAGTTTATCAATACATTACTTCAAGTCTGAAATGTATGCCTGTTGAAAAACAATTATTTATTTCAGAATTCAGTGGTGAGGAAATCCAGTAGGAAGATCCAGTTTGCTGAGACAGATCTACTCAGTAATTCAAAGGTAGGTTTTAGGGCAGTAATGAGCATTATTTGATGGGTTTCATGACCTTGTATTTCAATTACTGGATAATGTTTCTCCTATTGTTTTTCTCCCTGCATGTCTCTGTACAACTTCAATCTGAACAATAACCTGATAAGATAAAGAAAAAAGTAATGCTTTATGTTAGGTGAAGGCAATACATAGCCATCTAAGACAATGCTTTATGTTAGGTGAAGGCAATGCATAGCCATCTAAGACAATGCTTTATGTTAGGTCAAGGCAGTGCATAGCCATCTAAGACAATGCTTTATGTTAGGTCAAGGTAATACATAGCCATCTAAGACCAGTTAATGCTTTATGTTAGGTCAAGGCAATACATAGCCATCTAAGACAATGCTTTATGTTAGGTCAAGGCAGTGCATAGCCATCTAAGACCAGTTAATGCTTTATGTTAGGTCAAGGCAATACATAGCCATCTAAGACAATGCTTTATGTTAGGTCAAGGCAATGCATAGCCATCTAAGACAATGCTTTATGTTAGGTCAAGGCAATGCATAGCCATCTAAGACAATGCTTTATGTCAGGTCAAGGTAATACATAGCCATCTAAGATGATGCTTGATGTTAGGTCAAGGCAATACATAGCCATCTAAAACAAGTTAATGCTTTATGTTAGGTCAAGGCAATGCATAGCCATCTAAGAGCAGTTAATGCTTTATGTTAGGTCAAGGCAATACATAGCCATCTAAGACCAGTTAATGCTTTATTTTAGGTCAAGGCAATGCATAGCCATCTAAGAGCAGTTAATGCTTCATTTTAGGTCAAGGCAATACATAGCCATCTAAGACAAGTTAATGCTTTATGTTATGTCAAGGCAATACATAGCCATCTAAGACCAGTTACTTATTGGTCATTGATGCAATGGAAAATGTTTAAATCAATTTAAATTTTGAGGCAGTCATTTTAGTGTATATTGTGTTCAGAAGGGGTGTAACAATATACCAGTATACTAAAATACACAAAAATATCCATCGCAGTAAAAAAAACATATACCTGCATATCCCAATACATCATATTTTCAGTATTTATATTCATTTCTGAAGCATTCTTATGTAATATAATAAAAGTTGTAGCTTTGCATCTGTGGTGCTGTACGTATTTAATATACATGTACATGTAAGACACTTGAATTAATGAAACAGTCATGAGAGCCTGTATCAGCTGTTTACAAAGATGGTGTTGAACAAGCAGTATTTCTTTTTTGTTTAACTTTGTTTGAACTTAGATAGTGTCACATTTCAGAACAGGACACAATACATAAAAAAAAAAAAAATTATGGAAGGTGATGTACTGCGGTATAATGATATGGTCTCAGTATATCGGTATATGATGATATGCTTCAGACATATCATTACACCCCTAGTGTTTAGTGAAAACAAGTTTCAAACTCTTCTAATTATTTTAATGTGCTTTAAACATGTTAAATGTATGTATTCATTTCAAGTTTAAATGTATTTGCTTACACCAAGTATTGAATGGGGCATATAGTGTTTTTAAGGACAGAACTTGAAACAATATGAAATATTATGTACCACAATAACTAAAACTAAAGGTATTGGTTCAATACATGTGGAAAAAAGAAGCATTTCTCATCTCTTCATACTACTGCATAAGAACAAAGAAACAAAATGTTGCAATACAAATGTTAGGCAGGGTATTCATGACCTACATGTATTTCTGGGGTACCTTTATAATTATGACACTCTGTTTTTGATTTACAGATGAATACAGATTATGTGAAAATAGCTTGTGGAAGAACTGAAGACCAAATCCTTATGATTGATTATGCCAGGAGCATAGTTAAAAGTGCTTCTTTTATTTAACCCCAAACTGATGTAAAACACAGTCCTGTGAAGTGAAACAAGCTCTAAATATATTGTGTACTCTTCATCAATCCACAAGATGGTTTTGTGTTTCAGATAAAGATTTTCTATTTTTCTGAGAAACAAAGATTGTTCATTTTCCTGGGAAAGTTATGTACAGAATACATGGTATCATTTGTAGTATATGAAATGGTAAAAAGTCCATGAGTGATCATAGTTTTCAAAGACTATGCTGAGAGTGTGAATTGAACGAAGCAGTTGTTGAGTAAACTACTCTGAATATCATTTATTTTTTTGTGTTTTGATGTAACACTTATAATATGGCAGCTTTCACCCCCCCTTTTCTTGCCCCTGTGGACAGATTAGTGAACAGTAATGATAATGAAAGGGGTCTGCTAGGCTTCCTGTAAATCTGTGAATGTTTGTTTACATGTACATGTATAAAATCTGCTTCTTTAATATGCCATATAAGAACTGGCTGCTGTTACTTGAAGCACCAATTTGTTTTGGTACTGATTTATTAACATGATTGAAAGTAACTCAATGTCCTATAAAATAATTCATGCTCTTATGAAATGAGATGTGAAATAACATTTTCAGTGAAAGTTGTGTAATCTGTTATGTTTTGTTGTATTTAAGTTTAGCTATTTATTTGTAGTAGTTTCTTTTATAATAACTGTTTAGAAATGTAGGCAATTGTCATATTATTTAAGTTAATTGTTATTGGATTTTTTAAATTCAGGTGTATTTTTTAATTTTTTTTAATTTCAAAATTGACAAATGTAAGTTTGTTTTTTTGGCTCGTAAGAAATGGTGTCGATACTTAATATCTTCTGATTTCTGTAATTTTATACAGATTCTGATGAAATTTATCAGTGATGGAAGCATTCTTTCACAGCAAAAAATCAGAGAATTTATCAAAACAGTTTTATCCCCAGGATTTACAGAATTGTTCAGTCTGCCTCTAATATTGAAAAAAGTGATTTGCCAACATATCTTGTTTGGTTAAAATTGTGCTAACATACAATAGATGTGTTTGATTTTTTGTGTGTGCTAATAAAGAAAATAGAGTAAATTAGTTAAAAACTTTGGGTCGGATTATTTTGATGATGTGCTATTTGTGTTCTGTCTTGTAGAGTTTTATATTTGTTCTTGATTACTTGTTTGTTCCTTAATTGTTGATTTCTTTTGTTTTGAATTATTTTGATTTTGTTTCAAATATAGAATACATTTTCACATTGATTTAACGTACAGCATGTAGATGGTACAATAAAATACAATTAAAAAATTTATTTTTGTGTATGATTCTTGATTAATCAAAATATATGACATATACATGTGTAATCTTTCTGAGAAGTACATTGGGGAATAAAGCAGATACTAGTAATGTAACAGGTAAGATTTGTAGTTCAGTTTAAATAGCCCAAAAAAGGAACATTTCTCGCAGATCTTTTGCTTATTAGTACCACTTCGTCACTTTTTTATTCATTTTCCACATTTTAATCTGTAAAATTTACACTTTTATCTGTAAAATATACTAATTAATCCACAAATTTTACACAATCTGTAAAAGTAGATGGGTTTATTTAGAAATAAGGGAAAGGTTCATGATAATGAAAAGTGGCATATACATAATGAGCAAATAGAAGTTGTAGATAAATTTATGTATCTCGGTGTTTTATTGAACTACAATGGAAATTTTAACGTAACTGAAAAACAATTGGCATGTCAAGGAAGAAAAGCAATGTTTTGTCTAAAATCTAAGGTTAGTCAATTGAGTTTAAATACTGAAACTATGTTCTCACTTTTTGATACATATGTCAGTAGCATACTAAACTACGGCTGTGAAGTTTAGGGAAACCACAATGCATGTGATATTGAAAAGATACATCTGGAATTCATTAAGAATGTTTTATATGTTAGAAAAAACACAAACACGGCCATGATATATTTTGAAACAGGCAGACTGCCTATGAAGACTGTACGGCAATTCCGGATTTTCAAATTTTGGTTTAAAATATTACAAAGTAAGAATTGTATTTTGAGATCATGTTATGAGAAAATGTTAAAGGAAATTGAACAACCAATGAACAAGATCACGAACTGGGCTTCCAATATTAAAGATAAATTATTCGAAATTGGGTTAGGTTACATGTGGACTGACCAAAAAAAGAATTTGATATAACAGCTATTTCTTGATTATAAAGCAAAGAATTATTGACACCTATGTACAGAATCTCCTTGCAGATATCTATAGTTCTTCTAGATGTATGTTATTTAAGAATATTATTGACCACTTCACACTGCAATATTATTTGGTAAAACCTATTCCTTTCATTTATAAAAAGCAAATTAGCAAGATAAGACTGTCATCACATAATTTAGCTATAGAAAGTGGACGCCATAAAAATATATTACGCGAAAATCAAATATGCGAATTATGTAGATGCGAAACTGAAGACGAATTCCATTTTGTTTTAAAATGTCCACGATATAGGGATTTACGAGCAAAATATATTAAAAAAATTTACTGGGAAAAACCATCTATGTTCAAATTCATACAGTTGTTATGTGCACACAATGTTAAGGACCTTTGTAATTTGGGAAAGTTTCTGCACCATGCTTTTAATTTACGTAATGAATGTCTTACTGTCATATAAACACATTAAATAAAATAGTTTGTACATTCTCCACCATTAAACTGATTGTATAATTATTATGCTGTTAAAAAAAAGAACCTGCGCTATGCCTTACTGTTTATATGTTATAAATTTATATTGTGTACAATAAGATGTATGTCTTACGTAATAAAGTGAATTGAATTTGGAAATGTTGTAATATTTTAATTTGCTTATGTTAACAGTTAAAGATAACTTTATTAACCTATGTAGCATTTCACACAAAATTAATAAAGAGCCATAAGATAAATGCAGATGTATCAAAATTTCTCTGGGTGGTTGCTATGGGTACAACAAAATCAAAATTTTAACTTTAAAATAATCAGTAAATTCAAAATTCACAATTTAACTTTGAAATTCTACAGTGTGATTTTTTCTGGAAAAAGTTCATTTTTATGGTCTGGGCTTTTTTTTTTTTTTTTTTTTTTTTTTTTTTTTACATTTTTGAGTTAAAATGGACTCGATATAACGTTTTAAAATCGTACAGCGATGGCAAATTTATAGAAAAAAAAGTTTAAAAATGTAACATTTTGTACCAAATGACGCATATGGCCATATAAAAGTTATGTGTTACTTTCTAAGGTTTAAGATAACATTCAACGTTTAAATCCAACCTCTGATGTTTTAAAATCTACGTTTTACCTTTATGTTTTCATTTTAAAAAAAAAATCATTAAATAAAAAATTCAGATATTTGCTTCTTGCGTTTCTTTTATATATAATCTGTTAATTTTACACTTAAATCTGTAAAATTATCTGTATAACTTACATTTTAATCTGTATAAATTTCGCACAATTCAGTAACCTCATACGTCATAAACACGCTTAAAACCAATAGACCATGAATACTACATTCTGTAAACTTAAATTTTAGTCTAACAATTAATTTGGAAACTAATTACGTAAATGAATCAGATTTTAGATATATCTGGTGAAATGTTTGGATATAACAGAAAAAAAAAAATCAATCTAGCATGACCGATATATAAGTGAGGCTATCATACACGTAGACTATTTGAAAATACATACATGATATCCGCGGCAAATGAAATACATCATTTCACAGAATATGATGTCTTTAATTCTGAATTATTGCATGCAATCATTGATTTAATAATCATATTAATTTAATTGAAGAGAACAAAAATAAAAAAAAATATGCGTATAATATAAAATATTGATCATTAATTTGAAAATCGATTTGATATGCGCAACAATTCAAATGTTGATAGCATTAATTCAATTTCGTGTATAACACAACATTCGAATTAATGGTATATCAAAATAATCTGTACTAAGTAAATAAAGTATTTGAGATTTATTTTTATTTTTGATGTAGGAGCTTCATAGAAATTGATCTAATGATATTTCCTTGATGTTACGTTCTTAAATCACGTTCAAATAAGATGGCAAGAAGATTTAAGAAAGGATGTTCGTCGCTCTTTACGAAAGAAATTCCGAGAACAAGTACATACTGCATTTGAAAATAATGAGAAAAATTACGAGGCCCATGGGCCAAAAACGCCCGCCCTTACTAACAAACTTTTGTACTTTTAACTATGAGCAAGTCATCCTTTGATGTTCACTTTTCATAGGTATAGCACCACGACAGAACCATTAAATTAATACTAATTCTATAGACGAAAGAATGAATTTTACAGAAGAATGTATAGAATTTGCAGATGTACAGATTAATATGTAAATTGCAATGAATAGTGTGTGGATTTTACATATGAATTTGTAGAATTGACAGATTAAAGTGTAAAATTTACAGATTAAAGTGTAAAATCATCAGGTTAAAGTGTAAATTTTAGAGATTAAGTGTAAACATTACAGATTAAAGTATGAAATTACCAGATTTAAGTGAAAATTTTACAGATTAAAGTGTATACAATTATTGCTGTTTTTGACCTGAGGAGTACAATATTCATGGAGCCCGAAGGTACTGATCTCAGAAAGAGCAATAACTGTTTTATTATATGATTCAAAGATTAATTGACTTTTAAGCAACCCATGCCATGTTACTTGTTTACATTTGCTGAAATCATTAACCAGAACATTTTCATACTAAAGTAATAATAAAAAATTACTTTCAGAAAAAAAGGGGACAGGCCCAATGCACACACTCCCAACCCCCACCCGAATGTATGCACCTGAATAATATGTTCAGATGAGTGGAAATCGCATGCAAGTGAAATAACTCTCCAGAATTATTTGTATCAAAGTGGAAGCTCTCAATCTATTTTTAGTCCGATGTAGAAAACATAAATCCATATGTTCACCTGGAAGGTCACGTGCAGATAAACGTAACTTAACGTAGTATTTTTCTACAATGTTGGATCTCAGCCAATCAGAGAGCTAGGAATTATTTAATCAAATAAACAGAATAAATTATTCGTAAAATTCCAAATAGCGTCTCGATGTAAGTTAGTGGTCGAATGTAAAAATTGTGTCACTGTATTCTTCAAAATTTACAGTCATTTGGACTTCAGGATTACCAGTTTATTAGTCTAATTTAACATAACCCTTAAAAATTAACTCTTTAATATAACAACAATATAAAAATATAACAAGATGTAAAATTTAAAAAAAAATCCGAGATGCAGTTTTGTGAAAATACATTTGAGAACTCTTGCCCTTCTTTGTGAAAGAGAAAATCCGAACATATTGGAGCTGAAGCCTTCGAAAAAATACCACCGACTGCCCAATCGTACATCAGGGAGCAAAACCCGATCTGCCAAACCCATCATAGATATATGACACTTTGGAGACTCGGCTTTGGAAACCAGTCACTTATCCTTTTTGCCATACACATGATACATATTCACAAGAATGGGCGGTTCTTTTCTTTATTTGGAGGTTTATAATTAAGAAAGACAGGTTGAGTTCGGAAAGATTTCCCCGCAAAATGACAAGAGCTAAACTCCGCCTCCTATGGTCATCAGCGGTTGAAGAATTCCCTGAGTGGTCATAGTGATTTACTGCATCTCTCATAAGCAGGCAATCATATATAAAAATTAGAAGCTTTAATAATGGATCATTCATTAATGTTAAATAACTAAAAAAAATTCACAATTAGTAAGACTTTTACATGCATTATAAAACAAAGACAATCCTATTTCAAAGCCAAAAAATCTCAAAATTGTTAAAAATGTCGGAGAAGGTATTTGGTGTATTGCCTTTCTGACATATTTTCTATTTATCAATAAAAATCTGCATTATGAGGAAGTAGATATAATGCAGATTTTTATTGATAATTAGAAAATATATCGGAAAGACAGTATCCTTAACTTGGAAAATTTATTAATAAAAATTCCAAGGTTTCAAAGTGTAGGGTTTGTTGGGTATTCGTAGTGTTGCTTATCTTCAAGATTAGTAAAGTTTTGCATATAAATGAAGGTACTGATAATAAGTGGTCTGGTCAAGTTGGTTAAAATGGGTGGGAAGGCATATGTGGGATTGAATATTTATTGCAAATATTTTAATGATGTAAAGAAATGATAGTTTGTAAGTGGATGAAAGTTGCTGCTTCAAGGGAATTGTATGAAACAAAACCACAATTCATAACGGGAAGTTCACAGAAAAATAGTGTAGAAGTACACGGAAATGATGGCA